TGGTTAGGAAACACTGGGGGCTAGAATTCAGCCACAGCCAAGTCGCTCTCTCTTAAAAAAACTTGGAGTGCCAGTTGTATAGGCCTGTCCATTGTTTAAAAAAAAAAAAAAAGTTTTAACCCCAGGGTGGAAAAACTAACATTGTCACTAGGATATGAAGAAACCATGGTGAAGAACTAGACCCAGCGAGGCTCCTCAGAATGGCCCGCGGCATCTGCTCCGAGGGCCTTTATCAGCAGCCTTGTATGTTCTATTCAAGACTCTCTGAACGATTGTTGGCATGATGTAGACAAATTGACGCAAATTAGTTTAGCACGGGCTATGCAAAGTTTAAGCTTGTTGAGCAACACACGTGGACCACATAGCAACAGCTCCCAACGCCATGCAAAAGGTGCTGGATGCAAAGTACTAGCTGCCCCAACTCTCCTCTTCCTGAGGAACGGAATTTGCTAGTCGCTGGTGGAGACTAGGGGAGGGCTGGGACAGGGGTTAGCAAGCTGGCAACAGAGGCCAGAGCCCCCGCACTGACCCCAAAGGCCAGTGATGGTTGAGAAGAGGCCCTCCTTAAAGTGCCGCTGGTGTGGACTAAAATCTACTGCCTGTTATTTCACAGCCACAAATCCTCAAAGGACTGGCCCCAAAGATTAAGGGGATTCCGCCACTTTGCTCTTTACTTTTGGTTCAAATATTTCGAGACAATTCCTTTGGGGGCTGTGTCACACAGACCACCTAGAGGGGCCTTCCAATTGTATTTACAGTAATTTAATTACAGCGGGAGCGCTTCAGAAGGCAGGATTGACCAAGATCGATACTATAGGTGCCGCTGGCAGTTTTAATCTGTTAAATCAACAGAGAAATGGTAAAAATAAAGCCACTCCAGAGTCTGGAAACCACTTCAGAGGCGTTTTCCTTTTCTTTTTTTAGGATAGGTTGGGAGGGTGAGGGAGACATTTTCCTGGGGTCCACAGGTTTCCCACTTTTGTTCATGTCATTTTATCCTCCATGTACACAATAGATCTATCCGCTCTCAATTACAAACACACGCACATGCACTAGCACACATGGCCACTTGGCTGTGGTGCGTTTTTAATGTGTGTGTTTAACTGTTTCTCTGGATAGTCCTTCCAGAGCTTGATAGCACTGGAGCTTCTGCAGAGAAATAAGGGTGTCATGATGGGAAACAAACTTACTTTTAACCTCATTCCTTTACTTCTGTTCTCCTACTTCCCACAAAACATTTTTACAGCAAATATTTAAGAGTTTTTCAATGAACCCATTAGGTAATTTTTCTTGCAAATATTAAATCACAAAAGTCAGCCATCTGTAAACAACTTAGACTGTGTGGCTACCTAGTTACCAAACCGTGGTCAGTGTCTTTTGCTTGAGAGGTCTCAGTCTTCCTATCAGTAACATGGGAGGGAGCCAACAGACTCCTTCTTAAGGTCCCTTCCTGCCTGTAAACAGAGTCTAAAAGCAGGGTGTGCCGCTACTGCCACCTAGCAGTCCCCCTGGGGCTATGTGGGTTCAGCTTTTCTTGGGCATTTATCTTGAAAGTGGTTCAGGGACTCATTCAAATACAGAGATGTCACTGATACGGCATCCTGCAGCCTGTATGTGCTTCCTGGAGCAGGAGTGAGTATAAATAAATTTTTAGATATTGAAAAAAAATGTTCTGGGCCTGTGAAATTTGACTTACAGTAAAACTCTCCTTGCAATTCAGTGGCTTCAAGGGCCTTAGGGGACATGCCTGGGCTTCTCAAGAGGACAGACATTTGTGTTTCTACTGTTTGCAGGACATTTGTGTTTCTACTGGGCAGGGAGGGGTGTGTGGGTATGGGTGTGTGTGTGGGGGGGGGGAGAGAGAGAGAGAGAGAGAGAGAGAGAGAGAGAGAGAGAGAGAGAGAGAGAGAGAGGGGGGAGATAAAGAGGCAGGAATTTGGAGTCACTCAGTTCAGACACTAACCGTAGAAATAAAGAAAAAGACCTCTGGGAGATACATTCCCAATTAGCCTTTGCATCTCCAACAACTGGCATAGTTCTGTGCAGACCAGCAACTTCATCAATGCTTGTTTTCAGTGAATGAAAGAAGGAAGGAAGTCCCTTGGTTACAAGGGCATTTTGATCCCTCAGTCTCTATTTCCCTGGCTGCAAAATGGATATGAAAGCCCTTGCCCCCGACTGTGAGGGCCCACATCTACAAGGGGTAATGCTTTTGTCAAGTGGGAAATACTGGAAAAGGAGGTAGGGTTAAGGGAATCTCTACAGTTTGAGACTCATCAACCATTTCTTTTCATGAATAAGAAAGAGATTCTTCACTTCCCAAATTGATATTTCCATTTAAGAACTAGAAATTATTTCCTGCCATATAGTCTGTTTACTTGACTAATTAAAAAGATATTGTAGAAATGACCCAAATTAAAACACAATGTGAAGCACACACAGTGTTCTCTCCACCTTTCCCAATCCTGCCCCTTCCTGCAAGTGAATAGGTGTGCTGTTTTTACTTCATCTCCATATTTCCATATATGTAAATTGAAAGAGTTGAATTAAATAAACTAAAGTCTCTTCCTTATTCAAAGGGACACAGGCATTCCTGTGTTCATTGCAGTGCTATTTACAATAGCCAAGCTCTGGAAGCAACCTAAGTGCCCAAAGACAGGAGAAATGTCATTAGAAAAATATCATATATCGTCACAATGGAATATTACTCAGCTATAAAATATATGAATTCTTGCCATCTGCGACAACATGGATATATCTGGAGGGGATTACGCCAAGATGAATAAGTCAGAAAGAAACAAATAGATGGTTTTGCCCATATTTGTATACAGAGAAAAAAGTCAGACAACACCAAACCAAAAACCAACTGTAGGAATCTGATTCTAAAACTGAGGCTAACAGGGGGAAGGGGATGTTGGAGAGAAAAAGGGGACGGGGCACAGCTGACTGTGGTGCGGAAGTGGTGGGTGTGGTATGGCCAAGTGCACCTCAAGGGGAAGCCTATATTCTGAATCGTGTTGATTGTAAACCCATATTACCTTAATGTTAAAAAACTAACAAATTGAAAGGACTGTAACTAGGAATGCTCTGCAGCAAGGTCACCACGGTGAACCTAAAGCTGGAACAAAACCGTGGAATGGTGCCACCTGATGGTGATGCACTGAATTATCGCAAATGTTTCAAGACTAAAAGTTTAGTATTTTAGTATTTAAGTATTAACTACAACCTAATGAACTTACACATACTTACAGTGGAAATTTATTACAGTGCCAAGGTAAACAGATTATTTCCCCCTCAAAATAACAACAGCTGTCATTTATGCAGTCTTTCAGTGCCAAGTAAATCCTCACGCCTTACTCAGCGTTCTTTGATTATCTCCACCTCACAGCTGAGGGCGCCAGTATTTCAATGAGGTGAGAACTTGCCCCAAGTCACACAGAGGGAAGGCAGCTGAGGTAGAACACGAGCCAGTCCTTTCTGACCCCAAGCATATTCTACAGCAGGTATATTCTACAGTGTTGATTTCCTTGCTTCCGATTAGGAAAGTACTTAACATTTTGGTAAAAAGTACAAAGAACAAAAATAACTTGAAATTTTACAAGCAAAATAAAATCATTAAACATTTTGTACATACTTATCCAGTATTGTTAATGCTTATACTTGTACATCTATTTGTCAAAACCAAAGATCTCCTTTTTTTTAATTCATTCCTTTATCCTATTAATTCAGCAAATGCGTACTTTGTGCCAGGTAGAGACACAATGATTTCAAAACACAACATGATCACCACCCTCGTGATGCTAACAGTCTAGAAGAACCATAAAAGCATTCCTGAGATACAAAGGAGAACAATTCCAGAAGAGGTGACAAAGGACGCTCATCTGCCCCAGGGACAGAGAGCAGGTCCTTGAGGTGATGCTTGGAAAGCTAAGGCGAGTTCCCGCACCTTTTCTCCCCACACAATCCTCATCAACTTGACAAGCAATTATTGGCTTCGCCACCAGGAAGGCCTGCCCGCTCCACTCTCCTGCCTCTGCTCAGGTAGGCCCGAGGCCAGGCCCGTACATCCTTCCCTAAGACCATGAAAGTGGGACCGAGTCTGTTTTCATATTGCAGCACCCCCATATCCACAGGTCGTTCCTTTGGGACCTCCTCTCTCGACCTCAGGAAAAGCGTCTCCCCACAAACACTGCACTTGCACTACTGACGGAGTCAGGTATCCAGCACCCGTGGTTGCTGCGCCTCCTGGGGAACAGCCTGAGTCTACAGTTTTCAGCTGAGATCCTGGTGTCCATTCCTGGGATCAGCAATTGCACCACCAATTCTCAATCCTAACTGCACAGAAACATCGCCTGAGCTTTGCTCCTCACCCCAGAGACCCTGATTTAAGTGGTCGGGGCAATGCCTGAGTCTCAGGAATTTTAAATGTCTGCCTCACCAAGCAAGCAGACAACCACGCCATTCCAGGTGTTTCTAATGCATTTAAACTGTTTATGTACTTCTTTCTCCCTTACTCTTCAAATTCTTTCTGATGGCCTGACAACTCTGACAACTCCATTTCTTTGTAAGTTGGTGGCATGCCTCTCCTCTTGCCCCCAGAGGTAAGTGATCTCTGCGGCTTCCTTCACTTTCTTTGCTTTTACATTTGTTTCTCTGGCATCACGCAAAGTTCTGAAGCTTCAGCTATCTCCATTGCCGGTCTCCTTCCCACACCGAGACTCACATTTTATTCTCCTCCTGTAAATCGATACCTGGACATCCAATAAGACCTTCAGAACCATCACTTCAGACTATAAAATGTCTCCGTCCTGTATTAGTCTCCCAACATGGATGTAACAAATCACCACACACTTAATTGCCTAAAACCACACAAATTTATAAGCTTACAGCTCTAGAGGACTAAAACGCCTAAAGTCTAAACATCAGTCTTACTAGGTTAAAATCAAGATGCCAGGACCGCGTTTCTTATGGAAGCTCCAAGAGAAATTTTTCTTTCTTACCTTTTCTGGATCCTGGTGCGTCCGGCATTCCTCGGCTCGGCTCCTCTCCACCTGGCAGCAGCACTAAGTCTCCCCTGTCTCCTCCTTCCTATTTATCGAGCGTTGTGATTATATTGGCTCCACCTGTGTAATCCAAGTCCCATTTTAAAGGGCTGATTAGTGCTCCGATTCCACCTGCACCCTTAACGCTCCCCTGTCTTATAACAACATACTCAGTTTCTGGAGCTAAGGATGTGGACATCTTTGGAGGCCATCATTCTGCCTGCCAGAGTCACCTCTTTCTCCCAACTTCATGGCTTTCATCCTAGTGATGTTTGCCATTATTTCTCATCTAAATTATTGATATTAGCCTCATAGTTTGAGCTCCCTTCTCTCACTCCATCTCTCTTAAAGTGAGCTAAAAAAAAATCAGTCTGTCCAAAGACAGTTTAAATAATGCTATTATCTTCAAAAATATTCAGCGTATCCCTACATAATTGCTTCAGTAGTATTTCATAAAATAATGAACATTTACGGAAACTTTCCCTTTGTTTTCTTAGCCAATTTCACCCTCTCTCCCCCCTTCCCAGGGGTAGGCACACCAAGACTTTCGGGTGATCTTTGTGTGTGTAACATTATACACTTCCAGCATGGATATGCATCTGTAGCAACAGATAGGATGTTCTGGCTATGGTGTTTTTTATTTTTAACATCAATGATATCCTACTATTTGTATATTTCTGCAAGTTGTGTTTCTCACCCCACAATGCTTTTAGAAGCTCAACTTGTTCATAAATAGCGATTTAGTTCATTCTTTTAATTGCTGTCTAGATTGAAGTATGCAAATATGCTACATTTTAATTTTTGAAATGTTTTTTAGTGGATAATTTAATGACATGATTCAGAAATGACGGTTATATCAAATAGTACACCTTGAGGTCCTCTTGCTCCACCTTTACTCCTATCTGCCCCTTTTCCACCCCATCGCTTAGAAATGAGTTTCTTGTGTATCACTCCAGAACTTCATTATGCAAACACAAGTGTAACCCCCTCAAATTGGAGCCTCTGGGGCAACAAGACCTCAACTGGGAAAGGCTGTGCACATGCCCTAGAGCCTTGGCAGGGTCCATTTATCAATCCTGTCATGGTAAGAGTTGAGTTACCTGCTCAAATAGAGCGATGGCGGTGGGGACGTATGCACCGGGGAACTCCCACATTTCCCTATACTGTTGAGTTTGAGAAACACCGTGCAAGAGAAAGGAAAAGGGTACTAACAAGAGCAAGAAAAGATCACATGTAAAAATCAACAGTCCATACTTTAGCAGCTGTCCTGACAGGAGGCCTTCAAACCTCACCTCATGGCCATAAAACTAACATCCAGAGATTATCATACTTCAAAGACCAGAACCCCGGAAAGAGAGATGTTTATATGCATCAATCAAGTAACCTACAAGCAAAGAATCCAAATCATCTTTGAGAACTGGAAAAGAGAACTTATGACTTAATGTTGAATGAGCAGGAAAGATTTAGTTTTGAGTCTGTGGTGTTTCTCAAACTCAGCAGTCTAGGGCAATGTGGGAGTTCCCTGGTCCACCGGCACCCACTGTCATGGCTCTACTTGAAAGCAGGTAACTCATCTCTCAACATGACAAGACTGATCAGTCGATGCGCTCCCCCCACCCCTTGCTCTCACCTCTCCTCTTCCCCCTCTGGCTACCTCAGTTCTATAATCAATTTTCTAGGGTTATTTCTTAAGTTTGGCTTTATCTGCTCCTTTGTTTAGTTTCTCTATATTCCACTTACAGGAGACACCACCTGGTATTTTTCTTTCTCCTTCTGGCTTTATTTTGCTCAGTGTAATCCTTCCAGCTCCATCCCTGTTGCCACAAATGGAACACTACACAGCAATCGAAAAGGCATCTAAATTTTGAATCATAGTTAGAAATACCTTCCCTACTCCCCAAAACTTCACTTTCCTCTAGTACTTTTGTGAAGAAAGGACCCACTACCCCCTCAAAGGACGACCCACTTCCCACAACACCGTTATCCTAAAAAAGCATCTTACTCCACCAACTGAAGATGCCATCTTTATCATACAGAAAGCTAACAATTTATGTGACTCTTCTGGACTTTCCATTTTAGTTCATAGGTCTGTGTCTATTTATCCACACTTTTTATTACTGATACTTCAAAATTATTTCATCTAGTTCTTCAAATTATTTTTAGAGTTCTGCAATCTATCTTCTTTTTTAATTTTTTCTAGCTCCTTAGTATTTTTTCATAACTTGTATTTTACATAAAATAAATATACATAATTGTATTTTTATTATGTATTTGTGCTTTTTCCTTGATTTTTCGTCTATTGCACAGAGTTACTCTCGGCTGATCTGGGTTGACCATACGCTTACCTCTAGAGCTACTGACCCTTATCAACCACTGGAATTTATTCACTAAAGATAAACGTTCTGTCACCAATGAGTTTTTCACAGCAGGCCATGTCAGTCTGTCAGCATTGTAGTAATAATCCTTTTTTATAATCTACACCTGGTTTCCGTGGTGCATGAGGTAAAAGGGAGTTTCAACAGTTAAAATGTGCCTACGAGATCAGCACACTCTAAGAACCTGTCCAGGAGACTTGGGCTTCCTGCCAAGGTGATTCTCATGTACCCTGTGGTGGTTTTTGATCTAGACACAATTCCTGGGTTACCAGACCCAAGAGTAGGGCAACAAAGAAGCCTACACCTAAAATGTGGGCACTCTTCCATGCAATCTTTTTGATGTTGCCCAGTTGCATCCTCTGTAATCAAGAGGTACAGTGAGTGTAGACTGAGTCTTACGAGTCCATTCAGCAATGGGACAAGATAAATACAGGTTTAGAAAGTGGTTTACCTGATTTATTGACCTTTTTCCTAAAGAGAATTTTAGAAAGAGTTGATTATACTATTTTTGTTTTCTAACTCCTTTCCTGCTTTTAAATTCCTTACTTCTGCTCTAATATATTTTTTTGTTCATCCTTAATTTCTATTCCAGATACTTATTTTGTTCCTTAATCATTTCTTATGTAAGTATTCAACATTCCATCTGCTTTTGCTATATCTTATGGGCTCTGATATGTAATGTTTTCATTATTGGTACTTTCCAAAAATACTTCAATGTCTGTTTGCAGTTCCCTTTTTGATCTACACTGCTAAAGAGTTTTAACCTTGCCAGGCAGAAGGGTCTTTTTGTTTAGTAATTTTCCTAAAAACAATTTCAGTTTTATTATAATGTGATCAGATGATGTTGCTTGTATTAATTCTGCTTTTTGGAATTTATTGAGAAATTTCTTGTGGTCTAAAAGATAGCTATTTCTTGTTAAGTTTCATGTGATCTTGAAAAGCAGGTGTATTCTTTATCAGAGTCCAAAGTACTGCATTGTTTTTCTAGTCATTTTATGTAATTGTTGAATTAAAGTAATCTGTTTCTATTTATTCATCTTGTATCTTTTATAATTTTTGTTTAATGTAAGTTGTTATTTACTGTATAAAGATGCATATGCATTAAGTGTTCAGAATAAATTTTTCTATGAATTGTACTGGTATTTTTCTTCTACTGGAATTCTATGTCTGATAAGATGATTAAAAAGCATCTTTTGTTTGCCTTTGTCTAGTATATATTTGCTTTCTTTTTTCCCCCATATTTTTAGTTCATACCTTTCTGAATGGCTTGGTTTAAAGGGCAACTTTTATGGATAGCATAGAATATTTTGTTTTATGTAAATATTTTTAAAAAGTCATTGAAGAACACAAGCTACAACAGGAATGAACCTTGCAAACATTATGCTAAGTGACGAAGTCAGATACAAACGGCCATATATCCTATTGTTCCACTTACATGAAATTTCCAGAAGAGGTAGACCAAAATAAGCCAATCCGTATTGACAGAAAACAGACTAGGCTTAGGCTTAGGGCTGGATGCCTACTGGCGATACCTGGGGGGCTTCTTTTTGGTGTGATGAAAACGCTCAAATGGTATAGTGGTGATGGTTACACAACTCTGTGTATATACTTTAAACATCCCACTGAATTGTATACTTTAAATACATAGATGATATCTCAATAAAGCTATTATTGGAGGAGCCATGTGTGGCTGGAATCGCTCCCCTCAGCCAGGCTGCACTTAGTTCTTCAGCACTCAGTTCTTTCAACCCCATTACTGCTTCCAGGATTTGGTGCAAGCTGGGTGCTAGGAAAATGTCTGGTGAAGTTTTGATGGCAAATGCTCTGCCTGATAACTCCACTGTTCAAGTTCTGTTGTGAGTCATAGAAAACCTGGTCAACCTCCTTAGGCTGGACAGATTCCAAAACAATACATGTGCATCATTCAAATGTGATATTTATTTGGTTTTCATGAAACTTAAAGCAGTTATCCTGATTACACTGAATTGCTCTTTGATGGAAAATGTCTAATTTATGAAACTACAGATTTAAAATCTAAGGTAATGTGGATTATTGTTAGAATCTTTAACTTCCTTGGGAAATTATTTGAAGTATTTTTCGATGAGAACCACTATTTGCCATAATTTAAACAAATTATTGCTCTATGTATAGGAAGACAAACATGGTACTCTTGAGGTGCCATTTTTGAGTTTACACTAAAAAATTGTAACTACTGTCAGGTGTTGAGTTCATAAGGCAGCTGTGTTCATTTTTACTATTGAACTTTGATTAGCGAGCTTTTTTTGAGTTAGTAAATGCTTTCTGAGTTCTACCTGATTTATTTTACTTTTACCCAAATGGGTCACACAGCTTTAAAATCTACTATTTATGGAAACTGATGTTTTATTAAAAACCCTGGCCAATACATGTGTAAATTATGGTTGTCCCACAGTGGGATAAGTCACCTCGGCATTTAGAAGCAGTGAGAGGCTCAACTATCAAGCTTATTTAATGACAATAAATCGGATCTTCACTTTCATAACAGGTAGAGATAGTGCCTTCATCTAGGGAGAGGAAAAGTTCATATTACTTGATACACTTGAATACTATCAGTGATCAATAAGTACTACTGTGTCTGTAAAATTTTCTCTTGAAATTGTGATTTTTAATGAACTTTTTAATGACAAATGTAAAATATGTAATTGTCAAAGCATTTTAAGCTAAACTGTCTAAAATGTGATTTGAGACATTTTCATTTGTTTGTATTATGGATAGTAGGCAATCTGTTTGAGATGCTGGGTCTTATCACCCGCTGTTGTATTTGTAAACAGAGACAAATGTCGCTTTAGGATGCAATTTTTTTTTTTATAGAGGCATGTTTTATTTATTTATTTGTTTGTTTGTTTGTTTGTTTTGTTTATACATGCACTGGGTACAGTCAGAAGCGCGGGAGGGTGAGAGAATTCACCAGAGCCAGAGCGGGGAGCAGAACAGGCAGAAGGACCGAAGTACACTGATGAGGGGAGCAGCGGGCAGCAGGAGAGGTCTGCGCACCATGTGGGACCCTCCTCTGGTGGCCGGGGAGCAGCTGGGGATCGAACCGGCGCCGCAGAGGCCACGGGCAGCTTCTCAACCCAACGCTCAACCGCTGCGCCACCGGGGAGGCCCTAGGATGCAATTTTTAATTGAGAAAAGATTATGGATGTGAAACAATGTTTTCCAAGACAAACTTGTTTGCTTTGTAGTATTATATTTAAAAATGTTTTAAAATGTGTTTTTATAGCCTAAAAACGTTGCATAGGTGTCCCTTCTTCCCCTTCCCCACTCCCCTATTCTTTTCCTTTTGTTCCCCTTTATGAGAATCAGTCCAAGGACACTAGGAGGAGCTGGAAAAGAGGCTTCCACAGCAGAGAGAAGGGGCAGCATGGGGGAGCTGTTTACTTGGAGTGGAAGCAGTAGAGGAACTCAGCCCCAGTGGGGTGAAGGGGATTTCAGCACAGGATGGTGGCTCCCATGGTGCTGAAGCTAATCCAATGTTATATCACAATTTAAAAAAAAAAATTGCCCCTTCTGGAAATTTCACATAAATGAAACCACACATTATACAGTCGCTTGCATGTGGCTTCACAGGTGGGAATGGTACTGAGGAATGTTGGCGCATGTTACTGATCTTATGTATGACATGAACTGGCAGAGGCCAGCTATTTAGGAGGAATAGCTAGAGATTATGAAGAACAGAACATCAACCTAAGCCTAATTAATGAAAATCAGGACATCAGAGTAAGTCTGATAGAGAGTTATGGAAAAGACCATGTCAGAATAAGCTCAATGTAACTACTAACCAATTGAAAAACTGCTCTGTTCACTGAAAGTAGAATGATGGATAACAACTGTAGCTCTAGCAGCTCTGACGCCCGCCTGTGACTATGCAGGTGTTTCTCACAAACCTTTTCCCTCTGAAAAGAAGCAACAGAAGCTCTCTGCCTGCCTGTATCTTTGCAGGTGTCTCTCTTTTCTTTTCTCCTTTTCCTAATAAACCTGTCCTTTTAAAATGTAAAAAAAAAAAAAAAAAAAAGGGCCTCCCTGGTGGTACAGGGGGTTGAAACACAGCCACTAAAGCATGGGTTCGCTCCCCGGCCAGGGAGATACCCACATGGTACAGCAGACCTCTCCTGTCTCACCTGCTGCTCCCCTCAGCAGTGTGTTTCAGTCGGTCTGCCTGTTCTGTTCCTCACTCTGTCTCTGGTGATCCTCTCACCGTCAGTGCCTCTGGCCTGTACCCCAGTTCTTGTATGTATAAATAAACAAACATTTAAATAAAATAAATGTAAAAAATAAAAACCTATAGCTTTAGTTCCAGGTAAACAGCTAAAAATCCACTATAGCTTTTGAGTCACTTGTGAATTATCTGCATGCATTTTGGTATCTTTTTGCTCAGTAATAGTCCACATTATACAGATCTGGAAAAAGAAACCCCAAAAAGTTAAGAAACCGACCAAAGTGGCAGTTAAACCCTGGCAGTTACGGCACCTGGACTTTGATGTGCCATAGTAGACTGCCTGCCTCGTCACAGCATCCTGACACTTAGACTTAATTTACTCAAGACTCCAGGAACCCTGAGAGAGGGAGAGGGGCATAATTAAGGCCAGAGGCCAGCTGAGCTAGCGGGTTAGAGGCCGAATTTTTCATAAGCATAACGGCACGGACGGCTGTGTCTTGCTCAAATTTTGTCACTCCTGATCTCCATCCTCCTAGGACGCTACAGGCAGTGGGATTACTGGCCTATTTTGGGACTATTAACTAGTACAGAGGCTCTGAAAAGCTAATTAATCTCTTGGCAAATAAATAATTAGACCCCATGTAAGGATGTGAGCTTAAGGCAAGGAAGGAAAATAGGTCAAGCGGTCACTAATAACAATTTTTAGCTTGGAACTTTAGCTCAAGGAGAGATTAACATTGACAATTGCACTTTGGTGAAGGGTTGGAAACTATTTCCCTCATGTTCAATGTGAGTCTAGCGGGCAGATTTCAAGAGGTGCCCTAAACCAGGGTTCCCCTCCTCAAATTCATCTGCCTTTGCCTCGTGTTTATTATCAGTGTTTCATGTTGGGAGAAATCCATCTACCCTGGTTTCAAAAACTTGATTTAAGATTTAAGATGGTAGGTTCCTCAAGTTTTTTCTGTACCTATAAAAGAGAGAGCATACCCTTTGGAATACATACAAGCTTTGTCTAAATCACAGGCCAGCAATTGTTTCCAAACACAGGTCAAACTTAGAGGCTTTCTTACCACAGCTGACACAAACCACAGAGAGACAATATTGTGTTCTGTGAGCATATGGAAAACGTTTACTCAGTAAGTCTCCCAACTCATGGTAAACATACGTGTTCTCTCAAATTGACTATCGCAAAATGACAAAGTCCTTATGGTCAGCTTTGGGATGCTCTACTCTGTCCTTCTCAAAAGTTCCAACTTGCCCAGCTTCACCAATCCCTATTCAATTCTTTACCATTCACCATTTGGGGTCTCTAATAAACCTATATTCTATTAAAAATAGAGCAGTATTCTATCAAAACACCTGTACTATTCCAATCCAATCATGAATTTTATTAAAATCAATTATTTACTTTTCATAACTGGAGTCCCTCCTTTTTGGAATTCTTGGGAGAGAATGTCACTTTCAGTGTACACACTGTATAGCCTGCACTATCTCTTCTGTCCATGGAAGGGTTACAGAGGGAATGCAGAAAAATGTAGGCTATACTAAGCTTGAGAAAATTCTAAGTCATGGAGACAAATGAGGCAGACCTTCAGTGGCTGAAAGATGACCAAACTAAGCACAACAGAAGGAAGACGAGAGAATCAACGATTATAGGCTGACCCAGATCCAGCATAGGAGAGTTGGGGTGACTTGTAGAGCTGGAAACAGAACTGACTAATGCCAAAGAAGAACTTGAACTCAGAACTTAAAAATGGGGGTTAAGTTACATGAAATTTCTTTTTAACAATTCAGTGTGGCTGAGGAGGAAGAGCTACGTGGAAAGACTAGTCATAATGGAACCCCTGATAGGAACAAGCAAATTGAAAATGACTTTATGAAAAATCTGAAAGTGTAACTGGTTGACCCCCAAAGACATACCAGATAGGAAATGCCTGTCACAGTTTTCTTTTTTTTCAGACACTGAATTTTTTTAAGAAGTCTTTTTGTTTCTTTTTTCTTTTTTTTACTTTTAAAAGGTCAGGTTTATTAGGAAAAGGAGAAAGAAAAAGAGAGGCACCTGCATAGCCACAGGCAGGCAAGCTACCAAGAATTCTTTCTTAAGCCCATATTTAATTCTCTTTTATAACATATGTACAACTGTCCAAAAATAAATATACTACGTAAAAATCTAAGTATATTTTATACTCCCTTGGCCTCTTCTCCATCTCTCTCCCCTAGATTATAATTACTTTGCTTTGTCAGTTGGTCTATTTTGTTTCTTTATATTCCTCATATAGATGAAATCATCCAATATTTGTCTTTATATTCTGGCTTGCTTCCCTTAGAATCACCCCCACAAATTTCCTTCCATCTTGCTGTAAATGGTAACATCTTTCCTCACAATGATTCAATAAAATTTCACTATTTTCGGAAATGTTACCTTGGCAGAGTCCCTAAGTCAAGCAACTTCAAGGAAACAAAGACAACAGTAGCTGCTGATGCTGGGAAAGTTGGTATATAAACCAACCTGGCTTACTAAGGCCTTATCAGCAGAGAAACTGCTCGATGGCAGGCAGATGAAGTTTCATACTCACCCAGGCAACGGTGACACTGAATTCCGCTGGTGAAACGGGAAGTTTTCCAGGTATTATGCAGTCTTCTCCAAGGGCCTCATGGGAGAAACCTGGGGCACTTAAGCAAAATGAAGACTTTGAGCATCACTGCCACTAGAGAAACAGAAAATTAGAAAGTCCATCAAAACCAGGTCTTCTGAGCACTGATGGGTGAGAGCAAGGGTGGACGTTTGCTTCCACGATCCACAGAGAACTTTGTCTACTGTGGCAGATTATTGGTGACTTCGAATAGCGAAACTAGTAGCATGATCTCTTCTCTCCAACGAATGCACCTGTATCTGTCAGATCTATAAATCACTTGATGAGGTTACAAATGTATGTGCACATTTTAAATCATTCTAGTTTATTCCCTCTCATCTTCATTCCCTTCCCCTAGTTCTAAAGGAGAACAGTCACTTGCTTCTAAGAGGCAGCACTTTATGGTAATTTCAGTAATACAACCTGAGCTTCAAGATGTTCAATTTGCTCTCAGGTTTCTGTCTAATTGCTCACCACATCTGACCACAGTTGGCTACTTTCTGTTCTCAAATGCCCTTACTGCTACAGGGTATCTTCATGAACCTCATTTGTACAACTAACATGTTCCATACAAAAATTCATTTTTGAAACTCAATTATATTTCCCCAATTATGACCCTTTAGAGGTGTTTTATCTCCATTGGTGATTAATCATCAGTAGGTAGTGACTTTCAACCTCAGTTTTAAGTTACTCCACTATAAACTAAGTAGCTCCTCATTGGTAAATAAACCTATCTATGCACTATGAATTCTGTTGCTACACAAGAAGGAAAGGACAATATCTTTTATAATGTGAATTATCTGCTCATATTTTTCTTTTTTAGAGTTAACATTTAATAGTACGTGAGTTACTGTTATCTTCATATTCATTGTGCCAGGTGGATTGATCTCATCTGAATCTCTTCCATTTCAATATTTTTTTTTTTTAGAGGCATGCTTTATTTATTTATTTATTTATTTGTTTGTCTGTTTTGTTTATACATGCACTGGGTACAGTCAGAAGTTCGGGAGGGTGAGAGAATTCACCAGAGCCAGAGCGGGGAGCAGAACAGGCAGAAGGACCGAAATACACTGCTGAGGGGAGCAGCGGGCGGCAGGAGAGGTCTGCGCGCCATGTGGGACCCTCCTCTGGTGGCCGGGGAGCAGCCGGGGATCGAACCGGCGCCACAGAGGCCGCGGGCAGCTTCGCAACCCAGCGCTCAACCACTGCTCCACCAGGGAGGCCCCTCAATATATTTTTAAAGTTAGCCTTTAATTTATATAGTTAAATTGCCTTAAGTGTATCCTCCCATGCGTTTTGAGACAATACATTGTCACAATCAAGTTACAGAACAGTTCCATTATTCCCTCAAATTTCTCAAGACCTTTTATGTCAACTCCTCCAAGCCACAGGTGATTACTGATGTTTTCTTTCCTTCTAGCTTTGCCTTTTCCAGAATGTTATATGGCATCAGAAGACTTTTGAGTCTTGCATCTTTCCCCTGAGAAAAACACACTTGAGATTGTTTGTTGATCAATAGTTTGTTTCTTCTATTGCTGAACAAATTCCACTGTATGTATATGCCACCATTTGCTTATCCATTCACCAATTAAAGGGCACTGAGATTACTTCTAGTTTGGGCTATTACAAAATGTGTCCATGTTTTTGTGTGAACGTGTTTTCATTTCTCTTGGCTACATATCTGGGAATGGGGTTGCTAGGTCACACAGTAAGTATATGTTTAACTTTGTTTTTTTTTAAAAATTTATTTATTTACTCATACAAGAGCTGGGGTACAGGCCAGAGATGCGGGGGGTGAGAGGATTCACCAGAGACAGAGTGGGGAACAGAACAGGACAGACTGGTTGAAATAACACTGCTAGGGTGAGCAGCGGGCGAGGCAGGAGCGGTCTGCTTCGCCATGTGGGTAGCTCCCTGGCCGGCTGGGGATCGAACTTGTGCAGCAGAGGCTGCGGATTGCTTCATAGTGCTGTGCTTAGCCCCTTGCGCCACCAGGGAGGCCCCTATGTTTAACTTTGTAAGAAATTCCCAAAATGCTCCCCCAGGTGTCTACCATTCTGCACCCCCACCAACAATATCTGCAAGTTCTAGTTGTTCCATGTTCTCAATGACATTTGGCATTTTTATTTTAACCAAGTAGTGGCCAACTCTTCTAGCATCAGTTTTTTCTCTTTTGACAAGGCTCTATTTAGCAGCATGTAGAATCTATGTAGGACCATGCAGAATCTATAAAAAGGGTGGTGAGGGCCTCCCTGATGGCACAGGGGGCCAAAGACAGGGCTATCACACTATTACCAGCCACTGCAACATGAGTTCGAGCCCCAGCCAGGGAGATAACCCACATGGCTCAGCAGACCTCTCCTGTCTCACCTGCTGCTCCCCTCAGCAGTGTATTTCAGTAGATCTGCGTGTTGTGCTTCCCACTCTGTCTCTAATGAGTCCTCTCACGCCCCACACCTTTGCCCTACACCCCAGTCCCTGTATGCATAAATAATCTTAACAAAAGAGGGTGGTGACCATGTAGCTTTGCTGAAAGAACTAAATGGTTCCTATGAATATAAACTTTTTGCTCTTTTCACACGCTTTCATTGTAGAGTGAAGATGAGTCCCATCGCTGGAGATGGGAGGGCAGTTCCCTTTTTCAGATTGGCAAGGAATGACTAAGTCATACGTTTTCCATTCCACAGACATGCAGGGTATAGGGCAGGCCAGAAAAACCATCAACTCTGAGTCAAAGAGCAGCAGGAACACACCTGTGGTTAAATAAGTTGAATTTATCAGTCACTGCAGAAGGCAGAACAGACAGTATGGGGCACTGGGAGGCACCTCAGTAAGAGGGTGTTAGGAAATTAAGATTTGGGCTTGTTTTTGGTGATTTGGAGAACTTTGCTCTAAATTGATGCTGTCAGAAAGTGGGGGCAATTCTGTGACTGGGTTTCTTAGTAAATCTCATCTTAAGAGAGGGAAGGTTATACTGAGGCTAAAGCAACAGCCACTCAAATGAGTTTCGTATTTTAAATTTGTGTATCCCGTTGGGTGGCTTGGATATGGTTCATGTTTTTGTCTGTGGCAAATATGATTATACAGTGGTCTTGGTTTTGTTCTGATCCACCAGGGTAATGGAGTGACCTTTCTGATGTTGATATTCCCTGAAACTGTTTTCAACAGGAGACGTTAAGGTCTAGCTGTGCCAGAACAGCTCCTAGCAACACCCAGAGCAAGCTGATAGCACCAGGCCAGCGATTTGATGTCAGAGACCGCCTTTCTCTTTCTCATAATGTAGTGGTTAAGAACTTGGGCCCCAGAGTCAGACAAAATTGTGATGCCCGAGTCTGCTCGGCAATTGGCCCTCGTGTAAAATATCAAACTTCCGTGCATCTCTGTTTCCTCAAATGCATACGGGGATAACAGTACTTGCTACGGTGAATTGCTGGGTTAAGTGAAATTATATATATTAAAAGCATGGATCAAATAAATCATTATCATCATATCACAGAAAAGATTAAAAAGGATTTTGGGGCAGGGGAGGAATTATGCCAGGACAGGCAAAGAACAGTAAGAAAGTAAGCACAGGAAAGCAAAACAGTTTACATCGGGTGGTAATCTACGTAAAGTTGTTGACTGTCCGGTATCAAAATGCCATTTAAAGCGCCAGGGTCATGCATTACATTTATAAAAATATGGCAAAACAAAGGAAAATGTTACATCCACTGACTTGTCATTGAAGTAATCGAAATAATGAAGAAAATGGTAATAGTAGTAAGTGAATCCACATGGAAACACTGGGAAGAGTGTGGCACTCCAAGAATGAGAACCATTGTTGTACATACATGGCAGGGAGCTTCCGGCCTGGGAGAGAATGCGGTCTTGGCATCCCTTGCAATGTCACCATACTACAATAACTGATTTCTTGCTTTCACGTTACTGGTGTCCAGTTTCTAGGTCTTTACTTTTTGAACTACCCTGCCTTGTTAATAATGTCACGGCTAACTTCTCCAGTTTTCCAGTAAGGCAAAAGGTTCTCTGTACGTAACCCATGAGAGGAAAATCAGTCACTTTAAGAGACTGGATAATACAGACTGTATCCAGTATTTGTTCCATTAAAAGTAATTGCCTGAAGGTACTAAGGATCCATTATTTTAAGCCATTGTACAATCTTTCAAAAGCAACATCCCGAGACAAAGTTTCACGTCAACACTCTAAGAACGGGAATTTACACAATGAGAATCAAGAACTAGATGATGTCACCGAGTCTCCTTTTGCAGCATCAAAGTGTCCCAAATAAACAGAACCCTTCTGCAGAAGCTATTCCATCAAGACCATGACATTTGTTTTCACTTCAGATCTAGGGGGTGGGTGGGCACTGAGCGGACCCATTTAGTTTTACACGTGAGAAAACTAAGGCAGTAAGAAATGACCGGAGTCCAACTTACAAGAAATACGTGATTATCTACACTTGCGGTTTCAGAGGTTCTGGCAGACTCAACCTCCCACCAAAGCTTCGCCCCATCTTGATTTCTGTGCTAGTTTCACCGACTGCTGTGGGTTATGGCTTTAATAACTATTATTTAATAACTCTCTTCCCTAGAGAGAAGTAAGTGGAAGACGACCCCGGATGACTGAACGTCATCATTCTGCCTACGGTTCGCCCTGGAAAAGGTCACCTCTTGAGGACAGAGGCTTCTCTGAGAACGAGAAGACGGGGCAGGTCTCTCCACACGCGGGGTGAACACAGCCCGTCGCGCCACCGCCCATTCAGCTCACTTCAAAGTGACAAGATTCATTTCCCCTTCGAGAGCTGGAAAACGAAAACCTCCCGACCGTCCCCGCCGCGCGCGTCCACCAGGAGCTCCGCGGCGAGGCCGCAGCCCCAGGCCGCGCGGCGCTCGGGACCCAGCTCGGCCTCGGCCTCCCGCCGGCGGCGTCCGCACGGGACGCCCTTCCCCGAGGCCGGGCCCGGCCAAAGAAGAGCCTCAGGCTTTTCTGGTCTCGCTCGCGCACGGCACTGGGAAGCGGCGAGGTCTCCCTTCTGTGCGAGGCGCACCCAGCCGCGTCCTCATTGCCTCAAAAGCCGCGGGTGGACTTGGCGTCATCTCTCATCCACCCCGAAGGCGGACAGCCACAGGCGCGGCGGGCTCGCCCGGCAGCCCGAGGGCAACACCGCCCCCGCCCCGCGGCCGGTCGCCTGCCACCTGCCCGGAGCGCCCAGGGCGACGCCCGCTCCCACCGCCGGGCGGCCCCGCCTCTAAGCCCGCGCCCTCCGGGGCCGGGGAGCGGGCGGCGGGGTGGGAGGGGGAAGGGTGGGAGGAGGGTGAAGGGTGGGGGGCAGGGGATAGGATGGGGATGGGGATGGGGATGGGCGGGGGGGGGTGGGGGATGAGGGGTGAGGGGGTGAGGAGGATGAGGGCTGAGGGGTGAGGGATGGGGGAGTCAGGGGTGAGGATGGGGGGTAGGGGGGTGAGGTGTGGGGAGTGGGGGTGAGGGGTGGGAGGTGAGGCGTGAGGGGTGGTGGGAGAGGGGTGGGGGGGTGAGGCGTGGCGGTGAGGCGTGAGGAGTGGGGGCGTGAGGGGTGGCGGGGTGAGGGGTGGACGGAGCTTGCGGTGGGGGTGGGCGCGCCCGTCCGTCGGGGGCAGGGACCCCGGGCCGTGCCCTTCGCCTCCCATCACACCCCTCCCCAGCACCCCCGAGGGACCGGGCAGCCCTGCCGGCTCCAGACGCCGGCGGCCGCGGCGAACCGGGGTCTCGCTCTCGGGGGTTGGGGGGGGCGCCGGCCGGGGTGTGAGGACTGAGGTGAGCACCGCGGCCGCGGGCAGGAGGGGTGAGCCCGGCCTCCCGGCGCCGGCCGGCGCGCCCCGGAGGGGAAGCGGCTGAGGCCGGGCGAGGACAGCGGCGACCCCGGCGCCCGCCCCACCTTCCGGGCGACGGTTCCGAACCCCGAGCGACCGTTACTCGCGGCGAGGCGCAGGCTGCGGGACGTGCGCGGGCTCGGCGCCCCGGCCGGCGCTGATTGGGCCGCGGAGAAGCGGGGCGGGGAGACCCTGAGGAGGCGCGCGCAGGCGGCCGGGGGTTCCCGCGGAGGCTGGGGCGGGGGGCGAGGGAGCGCCGCGCGTGCGCACTCGTGGCGCGGCCGGCTGGGCGGGCCGGGCGCCTGGAGAAACGGGTGGGCGTGTGCCGGGTGGACGCGGGCGGGCCCGGAGTGCGCGTGCGCGGCGGAGTCGGCGCCGCGGGAGGGGGCGGGGGCCGAGCGGGCGGCGGAGGGGGCGGGTCGCGTCGGGCGCCACGTCCGCAGCCAGAGGCCGCCTCCGCCGCAGCCGACCGGGTCTCCGGCTCCACAGCCCGAGGCGGCGCCTCCCGAGCCCGCTGGTGCCGGGCCGCGTCCGTCGCTCGACCGCCTCAGCCCTCGCGCCGCCCGCTCCCTCCGCCCGGCCCGGCCCCGGCCGCCGGCCTCCGACCCGGCGGTGAGTCGCGCCGGGGGGCGGGGGCGCGCCGGGCTCCCCCTCCTTTCCGCCGCCGGCTTCCGTTGGCGCCCCTGCACCCCACCGCGCTCTCCCCGGGCCTGGCCGCCCCGAGAGGGGCCGTGGGGGGGGCACTGAGCGGGGAAGGGGGAGGGGCGGGGCGAAGCGGGGGGCGGTAGATGTTTGCTGTGGGGGCGACTCCTCCGTGCGCCCGACTCCGCCGCCGGGGGCTGAAATCAGGGGCTCCGGGTGAGCGTCCGCCTGGCTTCTTCGCGCCTGGGGGTGCGGGCGGGGGCTGGGGTGGGCGACGTCAGCAGCCGGGGCAGCGCGGGGATGCGGCCGAGGACTCGCGTGGCTCCCCGCCCGCAACTCCTGACCTGTTGATGAGCCACTCTCTGGGGTTCAGGCGCACAAGCCTGGGCGCCCAGGGGCACCCCGAGTGCGCCGCCCGGGTGGGAAAGCCCGACCCAGGCGCCTGGCCTGACGTGAAGGGATGGGGGGAGAGGGGCGCTGGGGGGCTGGGGCCCGCGGGAGCCCCCGTGGGGGCCCCCGCTGCCTGGCGAGTCCAAATCCACATCGTGCCCCTGTGCACACGCCTCTTGGGGCGCCCCCCGCGCCCACTCGCAGGCAGAGCCGCGCTCCGAAGCTCGTCGCCTCTCGTTTGTAGGAGACGAATCCCGGAGCCCTCTGGGTGTGTGCGGGTGTACAACGTGGAGGAGGAGGTGCCCGGCGCAGCCCTCGCCACGGCTGCTCTAGGGTCATGCTGCCTCCTGCCACGTCACCCCCTTTGCTGAGGGAGAAGAGAAATGACTTGCTGGTGCCTGGAGGGATCGGTACGGGGAGCGGTGGGGGAGGCTCAGCACCCCGAGAGTTCTCGCTGGGGTGTGCCCGTGCGAACGCCGTGCGGACTCCACGCGAAAATCCTAAGCTAGCACCTCAACAGGTATGTGTGTGTGCGTGTCCTTGCTGGGTTTCTTAAAGAGGGAAGTAACCTTTAATAAACCCATGTGCATCCTGTTTTGATTTTTTCCCCTTTTAGGCTTTTTTTGTTTTTTTTTAAAGAACAACAGATGGACTTTGAGTAAAAACTTGTCCTTATGCTGAAAATAACAGAGAAGGCTCAGTAGTTCTTGTGTGCTGTGTGTTTGATTCTTTTTTCAACTCTAAGAAAATCTTTTATTTGTTTCAGTCATTGAGTGTTTGCCACTTCCTGAAGCGCTCTCGGTGGGTTGTACGTGCACACCTTGAGATTAGGTTGTTACAAACGCTTTGCTTGTTGAGGCTGAAACGTCACTGCCCAACACAGCGTCTGACACATAATAGTGACTCACATTATCTGTTGGAACTAATGAGGTGTAACTTAGTGAAGGGGACCAGTATACTGGCTATCTGGTTTGATCGTGTATTCTAATTCTGCTCAGTGTGTCAGTAGTACTTTAAAATTGTCACTTCGATACTGTCGGTGGTTACTTGGCATTAAGGAGTCACTTAGAAATTTCTCTTGCAGGTTCCCTTTCCGTAGCTGACAAGCTCTGTGCATTGTCATCTATTTGCTGTTGATTTAATGGACAGGGTCATCTTTAAAAGCAGCCTGTTCAGGAGAGTTAACTAGAGAAATATAAAAACTCTTAAGTTGATGTTTTAACATAACACTGCTTGTTGGTCTATGTATATCAAAGTTTTATATAAATATATATTTGAAATTCCTTGTAGTCTGGTAAAGAAAGCTGAAACATGGGAGTGAGGAAGTAGCGAAGTTCCTTTGTAGTCTAGGTTGAAGACTTTACCTAATTCATTTGGTCTTTTTCTTATAGGGAAATTGGCATTTACTGTTTAATGACAGGTTTCTGAAGCAGCTTTGCAGGTAAACTGTGTTGTTACTGTATTTTGTAGTTAGGCTTTATACAATGGGTTAGTGCTATTTAATTTCCTTTGGTATAGAGGGGGGTCTTAGCCATAGGTAAATTTGTGCTTCATTATTAACAACAATTTTATATATAAAATGTTACAGAAATCCACAGATAACAGAGATTCATCTGTTTTCCTTTTTTAAAAAAATTCCTAAGAGGCATTTGTTTACTTATTTCTATTAATGGAAGAAATTACCCTCTAGGGAATAGTGCTGTTACTAATCCTTGCTCAGTATATTTGCCAGCTGAATTATCTTTGATACTGTGGTACTGAACAAGTATTATTTCACCCTGGCCTAAATATTTAAAGTAACGGCTAATGAATTGCAGTCTATAGCACTGAAGTCTAACATTTCACACATTAAAAAACCCACACACACCAGTTTCCATTGGTATTGTAATCATTTGTTCTCACGTCAGGACCAAATGGTAAAACTGCTTTGTATCTATAGAATATGTTACATTATTTGTGCTGATCTAAAGACTGTTTTCTGTCTTTATAGCCTTCCTTAGGAAAATACATTAATAGGAATTTGTGTGCTTTATGAGTTATGAGAGAGATTTTGGGTTTTTTTTTAATGGAACTAAATAAATTAATGCTAGGAAATTATATCCCCACTGAATTGTAAACTCTGATTTAGAGAGGGACCCAAATATATGTTGAACTAAGGACTTAAAAGATTTCGAGACAGAATTTAATACTTTTGTTTAAAAATGGTCTTCTTGACCACCTTGCTGTCAGTTGTTACTTGTCTCTCATATGTATACTTTTAAATTTTGCTAGTAGATTATTTACCCAGTTTTAGGAAATTAGGGATGTGTTTGTTTTTAAAATTCCCAGTTTAAATCCTCTATAATGATGATAATGAATAGATGATAATTTAAAAAGTATTTCTTCTTAGTGGTAGTGATAATATCCAAAATGAGGTAATACCATTAAAAGTTTAGTACATATAGGTATGTAGAAAGTGGGAATGGTTTTTGCGAGTAAAAAGTACAGATGGCACTACAGATAATTAAGAATTTAAACAAAGATATATTTATAAGGTAGCTTAGTGTCTTATAATCAGATTAGGAGTTCAACAAAATACATAGAGAAATCTTAATGGTGAATACTTGTTTTAATACCAGTAATGTGCAAGAAACTCAAGCATTCATCATAGCCAGTTTCTCTGGTCTGGGTAGCCAGATTTCAGTCCTGGCAAAACTTCAGATGTTCTATTTTATTATTAAATGATAATCCTGTTTCTAATATTATTAATTGTAACTGAGAATATTTCCATATAATAGTGTCTAGCTTCCTGCATTTTAGACTCTTCTACCCAAGATACTCCTAACTTAAGGGCAGAGTAACCTTGTGGTAGAGGCGGTAGTGTGACTGGGCTGGGAAGAAAGCAGGTAGAGCTGAGTGCCCCCCCGCAGAAGCCTCAGGCAAGAATGAAACTCCTTTCATTTTACTTCATTCCACTTCAGACTCCTTTACTGAAAAAGGGTATTTGAAAAGCTTAAAGTTTACTTTTTAACCAAAAATTTGGACAACCTACAGTAACGTGCCATTTAACATTTTGGTCATTGATGGGCAGCATGTGTGACAATGGTCTGAACTGTCTATGCTGCGCAGTCTATGCCATCTAATTTTGTATAGTACACTCTGAGGGTGGCACTAGGATAAGATCACCAACAGTAAGTACAATTCTCAGAACGTATCCTGTCGTACCAATCTTTTCTTGTGATGCTTAAAATTGATGTGTACAGATATTTTTATCCTACTTATTCCACAAATATTCTACAGCTTACAACAAAAACATGTACTTATAAAATGGAAAAATACAGGTTAAGATATTAGAATTGCAAACCAGGGGTAAATAGCTGTTAAGAGTGAAGGTCTTGAGGAAGTATTATTGGGGTGTGCCCGAGGACCCTACCTAGGTGAGCTGGGATTTTAGCTTCCTGAAGCCAAAGGGAATAGGAAGATATCACATCTCTGTGGGGTTGGGTTTTTTTTTTTTGTTTGTTTTTTGTTTTGGGTGCTGAATACTGGATATCTTTGTATCTTTTAAATAGAAAAGTATATGGATCTCAAAGGGAAGAAAACATACCTACTTGGGAGTAAAAGATTTTCTGAATAATTATTTCTATAGAAATTTCTTATGTCGTGCACCATATCAAGCTATGGAGTGATGTATCAAGTACTGTCCTGAACAGCGTGGTACTGTTGATGAAGTAATAGCTTGCACGAGCCTGTTGTCAGCGTGCCCCGACCAAGGACATAAAGTCAGTGATGTTGTTTTCTTCAAGCAATTCAAATATATATTTTTTTTTTTTTAATTTTTTTTTTTTAATAGAGGCATGCTTTATTTATTTATTTGTTTGTTTGTTTTGTTTATACATGCACTGGGTACAGTCAGAAGCGCGGGAGGGTGAGAGAATTCACCAAAGCCAGAGCGGGGAACAGAGCAGGCAGAAGGACCGAAGTACACTGCTGAGGGGAGCAGCGGGCGGCAGGAGAGGTCTGCGCGCCATGTGGGACCCTCCTCTGGTGGCCGGGGAGCAGCCGGGGATCGAACCGGCGCTGCAGAGGCCGCGGGCAGCTTCGCAACCCAGCGCTCAACCACTGCGCCACCGGGGAGGCCTCAAATATATATTTAGATTGTCAAATTGATCTGAGGATTAAAAACCTAGAATGAGGACTAGATGTGCATATTTTAAAATATCTTCTATGAATCTCACTGATTTCTGAGACTTAAAAATACGTATTTTTCTTTAATTATAAAAGCAATACATATTTAATGGTAGAAAATTAAAATACAGATTTTAACTAATATAGTTCTCTACAGAGAAATGCGATATTTCTCTCACTCACTTCATATCTGTATAGCGTGCTACTCCCTAGTAGCAATCTTTGTGAATACTTTGCTATGCTTCAATCTTTTAATATGCATTTAAAAAATTGGGATCATATAGTACTTGCTTTTTATTCTTTAACTTAACAGCTTTTTCCCATAGTATTTGCTCTTCATAAATTATTTTAATGTCTGCATTGTTTGTGTCTTCTGGAAACTTACTGTCCTCCATAAAGAATATTCTTTTTTTTTTTTTTTTTTTTTTATAGAGGCATGTTATTTATTTATTTATTTGTTTGTTTGTTTTGTTTATACATGCACTGGGTACAGTCAGAAGCGCGGGAGGGTGAGAGAATTCACCAGAGCGGGGAGCAGAGCAGGCAGAAGGACCGAAGTACACTGCTGAGGGGAGCAGCGGGCGGCAGGAGAGGTCTGCGCGCCATGTGGGACCCTCCTCCAGTGGTCGGGGAGCAGCCGGGGATCGAACCGGCGCTGCAGAGGCTGCGGGCAGCTTCGCAACCCAGCGCTCAACCGCTGCGCCACCGGGGAGGCCCATAAAGAATATTCTTATTTGACTTCATTTTCAGTTGTATTTTGTTTTTGCTGGATGTTGTTATACTGCCTTGTAAACAGGACTCAGAGATTATGACGACTTAGTCAAAAGTGGTAGCTGTGTAACAGGGTGGTCCCCAGGAAAGGGGGAAGTTCCAGGTTCCCTGCCCCACCCAAGGGAGGGTGGAGCTGAGCAGGAAGAGGAGAAGCTGGAGAAGGGACTAAGGAAGGAAGCAGGATGGAGCCAGGAGACCTGGAGGAGGCGCGTGGAGCCTAGAGACACGTGAAGAAACTGCGCTTGTCTTTTGGTCGTGGACTGGGTGACACAGATGTGGGTGAGACCCATGGGGAGGTGACAATGGCAGCTTTTATCTTGATGTTGATTTTGCTCTTTTCCTTCCGGGCTTGTCTGGTTGTTTCTGGCCCTTTTCTGTGGGTCCCCACTGGAAGATGCTTTAGACTTGTGGCAGGCTTTGGGGCCTTGCTCTGGGCCAATCCCATTTGGATGGACTTTTACCCACGAGGGGACGGGTAACTTTGGGTGCTTCATTTAGAAACTAGATTCTTTGCCTTACCTGTATTGTTTTTTAGTTTTATTAAAGTTTCTTCCCATTAAAGTCTCACATGTTTTGTGTTGATGCGGCGGATGGCAGAACCCAGTTAGAATAGGCAGGTTTGCGGGGTTTGGGCTGCCCCTCTCCCTGTCCTATAACAGCTGGAGAGGCGATGGAGAAGAGCTTGTCTTCTTGGGTTACTTTGGCAGGAGAACTTACTGATAACTGGATGAGACTGTAATAAAAGTGGAAATAAGGGTAACTCCCAGTAGATTCTTGGCCCAAATATTTAGATAGGAAAAACTGGCAGAGTTGAAATTGTTTCTCTCGCTTACTGTATTTAATCTGTCTGTCCTTACATCTGTTCTTGCTTCAGTTAGCTTTTTGAAAGCACAGATCTGAGAATATTGCTCTGCTCGTGGCTTCTCAATGCCTACCCATGACAGGATAGTTGGCTCATATTAATTACATAAACGCATATGTCTTTTATGTTGTTGTAGTGAAAAGCAGCTCTAATCTTTTTAAATGGTCATTAAAAAAAACAGATGATACATGTAGAAAAGTTGAGAATTTTTTAAAGGGATTCTTAGGAGGAAAAGATAGGACTTTTAGTAGGGTTCGTGGAATATATACAGAAAGGCAGTTTTGAAATGTATACACCTATTTTTAAATTTCAGCTTAAGATATGTAAAATGTAGGTGTATGTGAATTCCACTTATCTTTGTACAGGTTATAGCAGGTAGCATCTATTGATTAGATGATCGGCCAGGTGATCGCCTAGATTTGTATGTGTAGGGTGTACAGATACTGGGATTACAGCAATGACTATAAATATCTCTCCTCAAAATTAACAGTCAGTGGGGAACAGTATGACTTTACAGTAGTTACTATTTTTCAAGAAGGTACAGCTATATCCTGCCAGGAATTTCTCAGGCTTTTTTTTTTTTTTTTTTAAATTTGTTAGACAGTATTCTTAGAGTTAAGGTTATAAATATCTTTAATTTCTATGTTACATGTACTGAATAGCAAGGATCTGAAGAAGTTATTTGTCCTCAGACACAGTTTATGGTCAAGTTGGTATTCAAATTCAAGTTCCGTGATCTCAGAATCTTAAACCATTATTCCATATTATTTGTTATGATCTTACCTTGATGATAAATCAAAGAAATACATTGTTAATTTTCACAATATCCCTTTTCCCCAAGCTTTGATGTATAATTGAGATACAGCATTGTATAAGGTGTACAGTATGATGATTTAATACATGTATATTTGTAAAACGTTTACCACAATAAGGCTAATAACACTTCCATCATACCACAGAGTTAATATTTGTGTGTGTATGTGGAGGGAGCACTTAAGATCTATTTTCTTAACAGCATTCAAATACATAATACAGGTGTTGTTAACTATAGTCACCATGCTGTACATGACATTTCCAGAACTTACTCCTTGTAGAACTTGATGTTTGTGCCCTTTGACTAACACCTAATTTCTCCCCACCCCTGGCAAAGAAGTTTGCTGTGTTTGAGTTTAGCATTTTTAGATTTCACATATGATGGAGGTCATATAATATTTATCTTTTTCTGATTTTATTTCATGTAGCATAATGTCCTCAAAGTTCATCCACGTTTCAAATGACAGAATTTCACAATATTATTTTAAATCCGTTGTACATGTACCTCTGTTTATAAGAGCTCTAACAACAGCAATAAAAGTAATCAAAATCCATTGCTGATTTTGGAGGTGTCACTTTTAGAAGAGAAGAATGTCATGTTTTTAAAAAAATTGTAGATAATGATTTTGAGTCATTGGTTTTCTTTAAGTCTGTTGTGAAATAAATCAGTTAACCAATGTTCTGTAGGAAAAAGCACTTAAAATTTTTGTCATCTTACCTCTACTTTCCAGCTCATTCACTTAGTAATTTTCAGTTTAATGAAGTAACAGTAACAACATCAGAACGCTCTTGCACTGTTTGCCACTCTTTAGTGTTGTCCAGTAGGTAATTAAAAGTATTTTCTTAAACACCACAAAGTAGGAGAGAAACAAGATGAGATGTCTTGTTGTAATGTGTGTTTTAAAATGTTGTCTGAGCAAATCTAATTAAGTCTGAATTTAGCATGTGATAAATCTCATGTTGAGATTAAAATGAAATGTGTATGTGCTTTTTTAGGAGATCATGAATCAGGCGGATAAAAATCAAGAAATCCCGTCATATCTTAGTGATGAACCACCAGAAGGTAGGTATGCATCTGAACACTAAGAATGGAAACAAATACCCCAGTGAGTTGATGGTCTTATTGTTTTATTAAATTTAAATAAAGCAATATATTTGTTTTGTCAGTAAGTTGTCCCCAAAACAATTAAAGATAAATATTTTTAGGTCTAATAAGAAATCACAGATACTGGTGAATGGGTACACTGTAACTATTATGCATGATCTTTTTTTCTGTTACTCATTCTTTTAAGGCCATTTCACAAGTAAAAGTATTTGTACAGAGTGAAGGTAGGGTGCAGAGGAAGTTTTGATATCATATATATAAAAAGTCAACTCAAGAGGCACTTGAGATTTGCTGGTAAACTATTATTCCTTACATTATAATTGGCAGTTCTTCCTTTATTAGTACATGGTCTTAGGTTTTGCTAAAATTTTCTATTAGTTAAAAAACTGACCGGGATAATTTTATTGTTACCTTTACTTCTGAAATCCTTAGAAACATTAAACAACACACTTCAATGTCTTGACTATATACAGAAATGACTGCAGGCATTTTTAATTTATGGTTTTGGTATAGATTTTTAAGCATTCCAAAGAATGATCTCATTGGATGACTGCATGTTTGTACAGAACAACCATCATCTGCAAGAAAGAGAATCAAATAGGAGAATAAGGGACGAAGTAGCCTAAAGACCAGACCAGAGTGGCAGGTAGGCAGAGTAGGGTGTCTCTGGGAAGAGGCAAGGGCTGGAAACAGTGACTCCAGGTATTGTATTTGCTTTCCAATCCTATTATCCATTGTCCAAAATTGTCTTCATATAATACTTTACATTGGTAGAGAAAAGCGCTTATTTAAGCCTAAAAGAAGATGGATGTAACTAGCTAATTTGAGTTTAGTGGCTTGATAGAGGAACAGCTTGGAAGTTATAGTTAGGACTGTAACTGTAGAGTTTTGAAAAGAAAAGTTAGGGCTCAGTGAGAAAGTTAACAAGGACTTTGTAAGAAAGAAGTCAGAAAAGAGAAAATAAAGACCATCTAGGAGTGTAATTGTCGAGGAGAATGAGCCTCGGGAATGTCTTTAAATTATTACCTGCTAAACAAGAGTAGTCTGCAAAACAGATCATTTATATGGTGTTAATTAATACCACACTGTAATTAAAGAGATCAATAGCATTAATATTTATCTGATTTGGCTGAGAAAAACTGTCTTCGTTAAACATGTGCATCAAATTTGGCACAGCGGGTTATTATTATTAAGGTATTCGGCATGAGTCCTCAAATCAGGATTTCCCCTTTTCCTAGTGGTGCTCACCTTGATTACGAAAGAAACACCAATTATGTAATCCTTTCCATAATTTTATAATATATTCAGATGTTTATATCTTAAGTCTTTTATTTCAGTTACTTAAAAATTATATTAACTGATTATTCAAAGTCAGTAAAAAATTTATTTTTGCAAATTTAGCCATTGCTACATCTTTTTCTGTGTTTTGACTCAGATTTTCCTACTTGTGATAGGATATAAAACTTCCAAAAAAGAAAAGAAAATCTATTTCAAGATAAATTTATGCCTTGTATATTAGAAAAACTCAATTTTCATTTTTTTTTCCTTTGTCAGATGTCAGTTTCCTAATGTTACCTTCTTTGATAACCACATTCTGCTTGAATTTAGTAGTTTTGGTGATCTTAGATGGAGCTCAGTTTACTTTTCTCTGAGTGAGATTGTATTTTTCCAGTGGTTAGTGCCTGAATTGTATAGTTCCCAAGTATTTTACCCATACAGTTTAGAAAAATAAAAACACCATTGCTTATGTTACTACTGCCTAAATCATTAGATCAGGCACACACATTTTTATGAAATCTAGTCATTTTATGCCTTGAGTTTGAAGTTACTTGCCAATTTGAGTGGCTCTATTTTAAAAAAAAAAAAAAATCCCAGACAAAGCAAAGAGAACAAACTTATGGTTTGAATAAATCAGAATTTTTCATACAAAATTTTTCATATTGAAGTAACCTTTTCTGGGAGTATATGAGGAGTTTTTAAAAACTATAGGAATTGAGTCAGTGAAGTAAGTATTAACGATAGCTGTAGTTTCTTAACACTACAAAATGATTTTAGATAGTGATGAATATGATTTTAAGTGATGAATAATTTTATTTTAACATAGCACTAGCTCTTTAATTGTACTAAGGAACACATAGAGCAGAAACCCAAATACAGCAGAAACCCAGAGTACGTAATTTCCTTATAATGCTGAGAAGAAGAAAATACCAACTGACATTGAACAAAATGAAATTATTCAAGGACTTGCTTTTATTCTATGTCATTTTGCTGAAAGTTGTATTTTCAAAGAACCAATCCATGTCATTAAATAAGAGCTTACTATATGTTTAAGTTAGCGGTTCTCAAACTTTGTGGTCTCAGGGTACTTTGCCACTTTCAAAAACTAAGGGCCTCAAAGAGCTTGTGTCTTTGTCAATATTTACTGCATTTGTGATAAAAACTGAAAAATGAAATACTTTATTCCTTAAAAGAACCCAATAGTCCCATTACATGTTAACATCATAAACATCATTTTTGAAAAGTGACTTCTGCAAAACAAGAGTAACTGTGAGCAGGGTGACATTGTTTTTAAATTTTTACAGATTTAATGTTTGGATTCCACTAATCTCCCTTTATCTGAGGGGGATATGTTCCAAGACTCCTAGTGGGCGCTTGATACTGTGGATATACCAAAACCCATATGTATACTGTTTTTTTTCTATGTATAGATACCCATGATAAAGTTTAATTTATAAATTAGGCACAGTCAGAGATTAACAATAATAGAATAATTATAGTAATATGTGACTATGGTCTTTCTCAGAATATCCTACTGTACATATTTTTGAACTGTGAGTAACTGAACCCACATGAAGGGAAGGGAAGCTGCAGATAAGGGGGGACTGCTGTAACAGAAGACAGCCATATTATCACAGCTGCTTCTGTGTGTAGTCTGTACATCATTTAGTTTCTGGAAAATTATGTTGAATTTTCTGTGGAAAATTTTGCAAAATGAAAGTAAATAAACAAATGACGTGTTAACATTTTTACAAAGATGGGTTTTACCTTCAAATTCCTTGTAATGGTCTTGGTGATATCCAGGAGTTTTAGACCATAACTTGAGAACCACTCTTTTAAAAATGAAGAAGAGTGTTTCAATGAGTGACTGAATTCTGTACCAACAAAATGAAGGCTAAATATATTTTTTCATACTCCTTTAGGATATAAAATAGATTGACAAACAACAAAATTGTAAGTCAAGAAACATTCAAAATAGTTATTTAAATTAGGTTTCTATTTTATGAGAATTGATAAGCCTCTAAAGTATTTCTGAGATACTCAGACTTAGCAGTGAACCAGTCTGTAGCCTTGAGGGAAGAGCTCGTGTCTGTGTCAGATTTGTATTTATGTGGTTGGCCTGACTGTCAAAACAATTTCGAGATAGTTAGAAAGTTTGCAGTTTGCTTTGCTTTTAGTAGAGACTTGTATTTGATTGTCTCACACTTTGTTTCCTCAGGTTCAATGAAAGATCATCCACAGCAACAACCAGGCATGTTATCCCGTGTGACTGGGGGTATCTTCAGTGTTACAAAGGGAGCTGTTGGTGCCACCATTGGTGGTGTAGCTTGGATTGGTGGAAAGAGTCTGGAGGTGACCAAAACAGCTGTTACAACTGTGCCTTCCATGGGATTAGGGCTGGTGAAAGGGGGTGTGTCTGCTGTGGCTGGAGGTGTTACAGCTGTCGGGTCTGCTGTTGTGAACAAAGTGCCCTTAACAGGAAAGAAGAAAGACAAGTCTGACTAACATATGGAGATACACCCATTCTCCACAGCATTATGATGCCAGTGGCATTGAATTGCTAAGTTATGGACTATAAACCAAGTCATCTGTTTTGGACCTTTATCTTCTAACCTGCTGTGTTGAAAGTATTGATGACTGGCTTTTGTCTAAAAAGAAGAGACCAATACTAGCACAGTGTATGAAGGTTTCTCATACTTAAATTCCAGCTTTTTATCTGGTTAAATGTTACACTTACTTAGCTGTAACTGAAGATATGGTATATTTGAATATTTACTATAAGTCTTTCAGTTTAAAAATGTGAAAGTTGAATTTAGTGGATGATCCTTACAGTTCCTTATGTATAATGTGCCAGGTAACTCATCTGCCCCTTCAGAAGGGAACCTTGAACTACATCAACTGTACCTTTGATGTGCCTAATAGTTTCAGATGTCTTAGATTTTTTTATAACCATAGTTAATTAGGCCAAGAGGCATTCTTTTCCTATTTAAGCTGGTAAAAGTAGCAGGAATTAGGGAAGTTTAAAAGAAAAGATAAATGGTTATGATACTGATTGTTAACCATCTTTTGTTAGATATGCATTATATTAATTTAATCATTGATGCCTTACAAAAGAAAACATCTTTTCAAATACCCTAAATATGTGCAGTTCTTCAACTTAGAGATGGATGCTTTAAAAACTTTAGTTTTTCCTTTTAAGAATCTCAGGTGAAGTGTGGTAAAAGCAATCCTTGCTCTCAGCAGATAAGATAGTGCTTGTTAACGGTCAGTGGTTATTATGAAATCATATACTTCAACCTGGGTTCATGCTCCATTGTTAATACACCTCTCAGTGCCTAAAGAACATTTCTTTGCTAGTCAGAAGCTATGTTGGATGATTTTTCAGATTAAGGAGGAGCAAATAAAGTTCTTAAGAATTATCTAAAGCATCCAAGATATTGAAAGAATCCTTCATAGATGTTTTATCTCTAGGATGGCTTAAATTATTAGCAATTCCCTTTTTTAAACACACAGTAAAACCACCACAAATGTGAGGTCTGACTTAAATTGAGTGAAACGGCCCCGTAGATCAATTTTGAATGTTACAGATACATAAGTACTCTCAATGGTTTATATAGACATTTAAACTGTTACTTTATAAGTCCTAGACCTTGTACCCTTTCCCAGGTCAACTTTGGACAGGGAATTGGGATTTGAAGTTTTTGATTATGGATGATAAATGTGTCATGTCTTAACATGTCTCATTCATTCTCAAAAAATGAGGCTTAGCTGGAATTCATTTTTTTGTTTCATGTTTCATTTCATAAAAGTTTAACATGTAGCACATATGTCTGGCATTCCTCTCAATTAAGAGTTACAATCCAAGCCTGAAGAATTTTAGTTTTCTTTATACTTAAGTCTGGAAATTTGCCTCCATTCTGCAGATAATTTTTTGGCTAGGAAGAGGGAAGGGGAAGGGGTGAGCAAATAAATCAAATAACATCCCTGAGAACTTAGAACAGACAACTCCAACACCAAGGCTGAAATGGTGTGTTTGTGAAACACTAAAAGTTTTACATTAATAATGTGGATCAACAAATGGATAAGATTATAGCTTAACTTTTAAAAGCTTTCATAAATGTCAGCAGGGATTTTAAATCTACAGAGGTTCTTGAATCTTTCTACTGTATACCATACTGTAAAGTTAGGACATTCAATTCATCAGATATTAAATGGTTATTTCATGCAGTATGATTTAAAGTGTATTTGTTGAAATATATGCTCAAATGCCATTAGCAGAAGGGATTTAAAAAAAAACTCCAGAATTAATGGATGAACACTAAGTGACATCTAAATAATTGTATTGGAGAACTTGTTTCCTGCTATCTGAAAGAAAATGTTGTTTCATTGCTAGTTTATATTTCTAATTTATCTTCTAGTCATAGGCTCTGCTGTGCTTTGTATCTGAATTTCTAAATATAGACTTTACTGTATACTTGCATATTTATTTTCAACTTTGCTTGTCTTTAAAATCACTTGAGGAAAATGGTTGCAGTGAATTTCTGCTACAAAAAAGTCACGTGGTACATTTTAACAAGTCTGTTTCAAATTCTATAACTTTGTCCAGGAGAGGCTGGCTGTGATAGCAGAGTACTGTACAAATAATTTTAGAGGTTCTTGTTGAAATGAACTTGCCATTTGATGATACACAGCTGTACATTTGAGTCTTTTCCAGTTTATTTTCGTAGACTAGCAGTTTGACCTGTTAAACAGTACTAGTTCACGTCAAGAAACTGAGGTTGCTGTACTCCTAGAGGCATCTGTTATTTGTGGGTATTTGGCACAGAAAGGATAAACTTGTACAACCCACTTGACTGATCTAATAAATGTTGACATTATGAATTCTGTACTTAGTGAAATGTCAGATGAAAATAACTGATTGAATAAATTTTTTTGTATTAAAGGAATGGAAAAGAACATGCATCTGTTAATAAAGCACTATGATCTGCAAAAGATGAAATATTTCATAAAGCTATAAGGAAATAAAGGAATTTTTAAGCAGGGTAGTTTTAAATTTCTAGTTACATAGAAGTTAAGAAAATACTGTAGCCTTGGGCCTCCCTGGTGGCGCAAGGAGTTAAGCACCGCACTATGAAGCAATCTGCAGCCTCTGCAGCACGAGTTCTATCCCCAGCTGGCCAGGGAGAAACCCACATGGCGAAGCAGACCTCTCCTGTCTCGCCCACTGCTCCCCTCAGCAGTGTATTTCAGTCAGCCTGCCTGTTCTGTTCCCTACTTTGTCTCTGGTGAATCCTCTCACCCTCTGGCCTGTACCCCAGCTCTTATATGTATAAATAAATAAATCTTTAAAAAAAAAAAAATTTAAAAAAAAATACTGTAGCCAGTATTTAAATATTTTGGATACCACTGCACAAAACATGACAAAGCATCTCCAAATACTTATTTTGATGCCAGCACAACAATCAAGTGTGTATTTTAACAACTCTAATAAAGATGCAGATTTCTAGGTTTTACCTCAAGATGCTGAATCTCTTCAGGGTAGGGCCCAGTACTGCATTTTAACTATCTCTGCATTCTTACACTCTGAAATTTGAGAACCGATGGAAGAGTTGTACAGAGCACATCCTTCTGACCTAAGTGGCTGTGGAACCTCTCACTAAGCAAGTGACTGACTCAAAGGGATGAAACTGGTGGGAGGGCAGAAAATTAGTATCTTACTGGGGCACATCCACTTATCCACCAGGCACTATCCAAACATCTGAATTCATCAGTATGAGGACCCTTCTGTAGTCTCTTGATTATCTGCTTTTCCACTCCTGAAAAGGACTATTTCCTACTGTCTCCTTCAGGCCCTCTGCTCAGGACTCAGACAGCAGCTGTCCTGCCCCTCGCACTGTTCATCCACCAATCTGCCTATGCCCATTCCCATGCTGTGGACCAGGACTGATTTATCTGCTCTTTTCCAAAGTCAGCTCTCTTTCATGTCTTCAAGGATATTAACCCCACGGTTTCACGGTTTTGCATCTCTCCGCTCTCTCCTGGGTCATAGCCATTGGCATAAAAACCCGCCCCAGTGTTTGCACCCTTTAAAGAAAAATGACTCCATTTCACAAGCTCCATTTTTCTCCTTCCCTTTGCAGACACAATTTTCTGAAAAACTGTATAGTGCCTGCTTCTTCCTCATCTCCTATTCATTCAGCCTACTCAAGTTGCCTCCTTACTCTTTCGTTCCATCTGAATCAAACAGGGCTAGCCAGTGATTTCCTTTTGCCGAACTCACTGGCACTTCTCTATCTTAACTGACATCTCTGGCATTCAGTATTACTGCTATACCCTCTTTTGACAGCAGACTTCTTTATGGTCAAACCTTTCTAGCCTCGGCAAGTCATCACACCAACTCTATATTGTTTCTGGGCAGTTTTGTCTGGAGCCACAGCTTTCATACTCTCATTATGCAGATGACCCCAAACTTCATCTTGAGTCCTGACTGCTCCACAACTTCGCCATTTGCCTGTTTGACCTGCTCAGATACTTAGTAGATTACCTCTAAGAGAACTACCAAGTAGACTATAATGTTTGATGTACCAACTGAAACATTGGAGAGTGAAAGAGAAAGCACCAATGACAATTATGTTAGAACAAGTATAAACTAAAATCTCTTCAAGGGCTTCCAATCACCTTAAAATGAGATCCTGCTCCTTGGACAGGACCCGTCATGGTTATTGTGTGCCACACAATCCTATGCCAACTGTCCTGACGGCCATTCTTTTTCTCAAACATTCCTGTATGACACCGGATAAGCGACCTACCCTTTTTGTGCCTGAGAACAGTAGAACAGTAAACAATGGTGCTCAATTGTTAAGAGATGGAAAGCACAATATACCAGGCACTTAGTAGGTGCTGCAGAGATTTCACTAAGGAACTGAGTAGATATGAAGGTTACTTGCATTTGCTGACACATGAATAAAAAATGAAGACATGTCTTGCAGTGTTCATGAATTTTTTTCATTGCTGAAGACCACGCACACAGAGCACACAGATATTTGAGTGTCAGAATCATATGCTTGGTTGTGTATTTGTTACAAAGTTAAAACTCACAAGGTGAAAGTGAGCCAGCCTTTAGGGAATATGTGAAAAAGATACAGAAATTGAAATTTGAAAAGCTTTACTAAAATCAGTACCAACCATCACACTTTTCTTATAGGCATGGATTTTCCTTAAGTTTTCTAAAAGCTGTATTTACTTCAAATGTATATTAATTAGATCATTTAAAACATAAGGAATGTTACAAGGAAGTCCTCATGAAAACCTGTAAGTTTGTTGGTGTTACTCACTCTTTTGGCATGCCTGGTGGGGAGACTTCTTATAAGGCCAACTCATAAGCAATCCTTTTTGTATCCACACGCTTGAACAGAAGTCAGATCTTAGTAAGTCTGTGCTCTGTTACTTGGCAGCTGAGTGGCCTTTCTAAGCTTCAGTTTCCTCATCTGTAAAGTGGGGAAAGTAATGAATGCACACAAAGGCATTTTATGAGAGATAAAATGATCAATTTTAAACAAAATGACCACAGAAGTAAGCCTTAATTATTCTTTAAGGATGAGTAATACTTGGTTTGCAAATACATTAGAAGTTTACTAATGTTTCGCTTAACACAAAGTGATAGAATTCAGGCCACAGTAGAGGGATATTTGAGAGGCATCTCAGATATGCTATGTGAATAGGAATGTACCCATACTTTGAATTAAGAGTTTCTTACAAAACAGCACACTGATGTGTCATTTAATAGTACAGAGATTTTTGGATATAGCTCAACTTTATTTAAAATAAATACAATTTATATTTCAAAATACAGTGAACTAGTTGTACAGGTAACTTAAACACAACTCAGAAGCCAAGTCAGTTTTTAAAATTATTGGAGCATATGAGTGCCTCAATCACTCAGTCTGTGCTACCCAGTTTCACTCTGCTCGCTGGAAAGCACAAGTCAGCAATCACTCTTCAACATTTAATGGTGCCACAGGGTTAAATAACGGCCTTCCTTTTTTAGCCTGAATTTTACCAAAGTTATCCTCAAACTCTCTTTTTGTTCCATTGAGATTTTCCAGGTTTCCATCCTTTACTTTATAACCTAAGTAATTCAGTTTCCTTATCCTGTACTGTACTATCTGTGGTGTGAGTTCAAGAATCATTGGTGCCTCTCTTATTTGAGCTATGGAAATTCCTTCTTTCAATAATCCCTGAATTCTCTCTTCCAAAACTGGAACAGAATAATATAAAAGGGCAGGACATTTCAAAACTAATTGCTTCAGGTCATGATCTGTGCATTTAAAAGCACTTTTAGAAAAGGAAAGACTGTTCTGTATACTTCTGGGGCAAAGCTGAAAAAGAAATCCTTTGAGTTTGGACAGGAGTTGTAGAATTTCAGTGTTTGTGAAGTCTTGTTCCTGGAGAAACGCTAATGTCTCCTTTACAGCTGTAGAAGAATTTAACAAAATAAATGGGTTCTGGCTTAATAACTTAAGTAGCCAAACTTTCATGTTGGCCTCTGAGCCACCTAAATGTAGGTAACTCTCTTGGAGAATCTTTATAACCTGTTTATTCTTCTCAATAGGACTCTGGAAAATACTAGGTGCAGTTGTCAAAAATCTGCTAATAACCACATTTTTGAGTCCCAGCTCTTGAAAGAACTGTACATTCATCTTCTGGTTTTCATGGTCTTTCACAGTGAAAAAAGATTCTGGAAACTGTTCTATTAACTTGACTAACTCTTCATTGTTTTTGCAGACCAACTGCCAGAGTTCTCTCTGAGTGTTAACAGCAGTTGGACTACAGACGACTGCTTCTGGACAGCGTTCCAAAATACTGGCCACAGTAGCCTCATTGGCACCTAGTTGTTGTAAAATATTTGCAATTTCTTCAACATAGGTTTCATCCTCCAAAAGTACCCATTCTTTCAATCTGCGAATTTTCCTAATGTCAACGGATAATTTGTAGAGCTTTTCCACAGTCTTTTTATTTTCTTGGTCTGATTGTTTATTGGTTGTATAGGTAAAGGCTGCTGAGAGAGGCCTGTGTTTTGGAGTTGATAGCGTTTTTCGGAAAGAATACAGCCTGCAGGGCTGAGACCTCAATACTAACTTCCACAACATGCCTGCAATCCACTGGCTAATTCCCACCGTCCTGGGACTCAAAGAATGTACACATCAAACCTGAAAGAGAAGAAAGTGCAGGTTTTTATATAAAGGGTCTTAACTTTTGGAACGCAAACACAAATTTGAATTATAAGGAGTAAGCTTCTGGAAATAAAATGGGTTTAAACTAGACAGGAAAACTACTCATGGGGAATATGAAATATATCCTTTTAAATCATTTCTGAATTATTTAAATATTTCAATTAATCTTATTAAAAGACATTCTAAAAATTAAAATTATTTAAACTGAAAAATTGTGACTTTCTTCACAATTCAGACATCTTATATTTTATAAATACAATGTTTGAACTTTGTAACAACTTTGTGAAACAACCTTGTTTCTACTCTGCAGATCAGTAGCTAGACCAGCATGTAAAGATGCATAAAGCTCAAATATTTTGACACAATCTCCCTTTCCTGCACCTCCCATGTGGTCCCTCTAAGGAGATATAAGGCACTACTTACACACTTGCTTACAAGATTTTTGTGAAATGTTTTATATTTTCAAGTTGATTAGCTGAAGCAAATACTTATTAAGAAAGGAGAAGGAGATCATGACATTTTATATTTTAAATATTTTTGCTGAATTAACTATCACCCAAGACGAGTCAGTTTATTTAAAATGACTTATAAGTAAGTGCTTGTTTTATCAAATTATGTGAAAATTACTTTTTAAAGCCAGAGTTAAAGTTAAGTCTTAGCTAGGTAAAATGAGAAATCCCGTATGGCCCCAAGTAGATCCACAACAAATCAGGCTAGCCTTGGAATAATGTACTTTTAAAACGGTCTAAGGAGCTGTCTCCAATTGACACCTCTAGGCACCTCGAGCCACTGTCCTGTGCTGGGAGCACTGTAGCTTTTGGCACTGTTTTCCTGTTTCTCTGCTAGTTAGAGTCTCAGCCTAACACAAAAGTGTCTAGTACTGAGCTATTTAGCTAGCGAACTACATTCCCTTTTTTTGTGTGTGGGGGTCTGAAGGAAAGCTCCAAAAAGCCATTTCCAGTCACTGCCCTTAATAATGCCTAGGACTTTTGTCACTTTCAAGCATGTCCTTACTCATCCAAATAGATGATTATTCTCTAAGGAAAAATAACAAATGACAATGTTCTCATTTTGGTTTGCCATTTGTAATAACAGCTCACAGTGCCTATACTGGCCCAAACAATTGCAGACTTAGCTTCTGCTTTAAGTGGCTAAACCAGAGTTTCCTTCAGATAATTTCTAATAGCTAACACATAATAGTAAAAGTATTTACAACATCTTGAAGAAGACCAGGATTTTTAAAGAGAGGCGGTACAGCATAATGAGGAAGAGCACAGGAAAATGTAGACTGGAGTCCACACCCCATTGTTTCTGGGACCACCACAAGCTCAGACCTCACACCTGTTGCCATATGATGGGAAGGGTGGGCTTTGCAACCAAACTGCCCACGTCTGGTCTTGACTGTAACTTAACATATCATCTTAGGAAAGCTACTCCGCCTCCGATGAAACAAGTTGTGATTAGAACAGTGTCTCATAATAAGTGTTCATAAGTATTTATAGTAACAAGAGCACCATCTGTAAAGTGGACAGAACCACAATTTAACCTTACAGGGACACTGGGTTGGTTAAGGGATGGTTAAGATACATGTCAAGTACTTTGCAGAGCGCATGGCAAATACTTTAGTCAATAAATAGTGGCCATTACTAGGAACTGCCTGGAGCTAAAAGTCTTGTAGTGATAAAACTTCAAATTACATTTTATTTATTTTTTTTAAAGATTTATTTATTTATGTATACAAGAGCTGGGGTACAGGCCAGAGTGTGGGGGGTGAGAGGACCCACCGGACACTGAGTGGGGTACAGAACAGGCAGACTGACCGAAATATACTGCTGAGGGGGGCAGCGGGTGAGACAGGAGAAGTCTGCTTCACCATGTGGATTGCTCCCTGGCTGGCCGGGGATCAAACTCGTGCTGCAGAGGCTGCGGATTATTTCATAGTGCAGTGCTTAACCCTTTGCGCCACCAGAGAGGCCCCTCAAGTTATATTTTAGATAGAAGTACATTATTTACAAGGAGTAACTAAAAATTGTAGATACTATATTTTAGATTGTTATCCAAAGTAACTACTTATGAAAGTGGTATATATTCCTTACAGAGAACGTGATTTCTGAAAAAAACGTGAGGAAGTGGAAAAGTCCACAATTGGACCACCTATACACAACTACTCATATTTTGGTATGTATCCACTTTTTTGGTTTCTTATCCCCCTTTATTTTTATAATTTCCTATCCCATTATTTGTGATGCCTCCTTTATCATGTAATACACGTAGTTTCTGTTTCTAAAGACCATCCATTTGCAATTCCTTGAATGAGCCAGGAGGCTATGTCTGTCCTTTGTTGCATGCATTCTTGGCTCCCTCTGCCAGACTGCTGAACAATCTCTAGTTAGCTCACTCTTCCCTGTCTCCCATCAACTGTGTCAAGCCTTCTCAACTCAGACCTCCAGCATCCCATCTTCCTGTCCCTTCCCTTCACTCTCACCCAATGCTCCGGCCTCTAACATCTACAAAGAAAGGAAAGCAATGTATCATTGCAATCTCCCCTTCCCTCCAGACACACCTTTCATTACCCAGTAAGCCCTGCTCTGCGCTGCTCCTAACCCCTTTGGCTGAGCTCTCTAGGGCTCTTCTCTCACACATATTTACATCTTCAGCTGACTCCTCTCAGACTCCTACCCTTCACTTATGGGCTCTTCTTCTACCATAGCTTCAGCAAAAACTCCCCTCAGCTAACTCCTGCAAAACCTTTTTGCCATACCCTCTCCTCCTAAAGTTTCCAATAAAAACACCTCCCATGTGGTGAGAGCCAAAGAGTTTTCTTTTCTGTCTGTTGACCGCTGCAGCTTTCAGCAATTTGGCACTCTCTCTGCAAGTACACTCTCACTTGACTCCCAGGACTTCCCACGCTCTCTGCTCATCATGCACTTGTGACATCCCTTTATCTGGTTTCCTCTGTGTGCCCATCTTCAAACCTTGGTTGGCGATCCCCTCCTTTTCTTACCTTACAGGTTCTCCCCAAAGATCCTGTCCTTGTCCAGGAATTCAGTGAATCCACCTGGGCTTCGCTCCTGTTTCTTCACAAATGTGATCTTGTTACCTCCCTGCAATAAACTATTCAGTGGCACTTCAGGACAACAACGTAAAATAAAAATGGCTTTCTACAAGGTCTCTTTGTCTGGGCTCTGTTGCTACCCAAATCCCTAGTACCTTTCTCCCCACACCAGTCACACCTGCTTCCCTTCAGTCCCAGGTGCTCTGTTCCTACCACTGGGTCTCTTGAGAACCAAAATGCCCCTAACACCTAGGTCTAGTCTAAGTCTCACATTCTCAGGAAATTTGCCTCATCTTCACATATTGATGAAACCCCCCTGTCTCCATCACAGGCCTTCATGCACAGTGGATAGCTCCCCTTTTCACAGAGGCAGCTCTACTTGTTTCCATCCACGTTCAGGAGGGCAGAGACTATTCATCATCATGTTCCACTGAGTCTCTTCCTTACATTCCCCGGCTGCCATTACTGACTTTAGGAGGCATTTCTGGACTCTGAGTGTTTTCTTCCTTGCACCCTACTTCTGACCCAACCACAGTTCGTGTACTCCTATAAATCCTTCTTTCATCCAACCAGCAGTGTTTCATTTTGTTTTAGCTCACTCTGTGAGGCAGACATTACTTCTTCTATAACATCTTTCATACCATCGGAGAACCTGATGAAAGCCACAAATTCTCTCCCCACCAAAAAAAAAAACCAAAAACAAAAAAAAAAAAACCCATACTCAGACCATTTTGCAGAAGACTTTAGCAGGATCTGCAGGTACTAACAGCCCAACTATGACTAACCTGCACTAGATTGTAAACACTGGGAGAGAAGGGTCTGGGTGCTATTCTGTTTTATTGCCTATACCCAACAAACAACTTGCTCCCCCATAATTTCTCAAGTGAAACTGAATGAACCAAGCTCATGAGGCAACTTAATACAGAGGGTGAAGTTGTGGGCTGCCTGAGCTTAATTCCTGGTCATTAGTTGTGTTGTGATTTGAAGAAGTCACTTCACCTCTCTGTGCCTGACGGAACATCAGGTAAATGATGAAAAAACATCTTGAGTGATTGTGAAGATCAAATGAGTTGGTAACATGACTTACAGAGTATTCAGAAAACTTCACATATGCTAACTTATTAAATCATCACAACAACCTATTTGAAAGACGAGAAAACAGACACAGGTAAAATAACCTGCACGTTAAAGTGACAGCCCCAAACCCAACAACTGGGCTCGAGTCCAGTTCCCATGCTTGTCTCCTACACATGGCCATGCTCTGGTAACTACCTGTGAAATCACACAAAATGTGGGCTATTCCCTGCTGCTGTCATGTTTTTAAAGCATTTTTGAGAAGTGAAATTCACATCTGTAATACGCAGTTTTCATATTAACACAGTTCCTCGACAACACCAGTAATTTCAATCAAGTTCTACGTTTATAACAGGCACAGTCTGTTGCGTTTCACATTAACCAGCGCCCAGGGCCCAGGGCGGCAGGGAGCAAAGGCTGCCACCCAGCGAGGCCTGCGCCTTCCAGAGAAACCTCCCACCTGACCCGGGGCTCCTGGCGGCGCCACCCCGGCCTCGCGGGCAGAGCGGAGCCGCGCGCCGGGAATCGGGTTTCGGGCACCCCCTCCCCACCCCCAGCCTCGCCCCCCCCCCCCCCGCCCCCCGCCTCGCCTCCCGGCCGGCGCGCAGCCCAGGCCCAGGGGTGCGGCGGGCCCCGAGGCCCGAGGCAGGCCGACTCACCTGTGGGCGTCCGCTCCGGGCCCTCACTCCGTCCTTCCGCCCCCCCCCCCCAGTCCCTCCTCCTTTCCCGGGTCCGCAGATCTCCCCGGCGACCGTCGTCCCGCAGGTGGAAGCCCCGCGGGGTCCGCAGGCGGGTCCGCAGCACAAGGCGAATTCCTCAGCTGAGCCGGCCCGGCCACGCCCCCCGCGCCGTAGCCAATCAGGACGCGGAGGCAGGAGATCGCAGACACGCCCCGCAGCACCCACGCATCCAATGAGGGCGCGAGACGCCGGCTCCTCGCCCCGCCCCTCGGAGCCGGCACCACGTGGGAATCCGCGGGCCGCGCCGAGCGCCCGGTTCTCACGCCCTTTCCTTGCTGACATCTTAGACAACCTGGGGGTGTCAGTCATCTTATCTTTCGGGGATTGTCTTTAGCCCGTAAAAAAACACGGAAGCAACCCAGCAACTTCTTTATCTTTAAGCCATGCAGAATGACCATACTGTAGAGTGATAGGTAAAGAAGCAGTTTACAGAAACGTTTAAAACCTCACAAACGTCCTTGCACCTTCCGAACACACTTAGCTCTTGGCTCTCCACCCCGCGGTGGGCAGCGACCACGGCGGATTCGTCTTTACAAGCCCCCCTTCCTGCCACCGTAGTTACCTAAATATTTGCCTTTTCTGATCAACTAAGCGGTTTACATTCTAATGATTACCTGTGAAGCCAGCTTCGTAAAAAAATTTTTTCTCCTTAAATCCAAGCTTCACGTTTGCCTTATTTATGCTCACATTTATCTATCCACGCAACACATACTTACGTCTCACCGACCAAGTGCCAAGTAGGTGAAACAGCACTGAGACAGTTGGACGAGAGGAGGGGAAAGTTACACTGCCTGCCCTGATGGAGTTTACATTCTAGAGGACAAAGGCATTAACTAGAAACAAGTATTTTCTAGGGTGCCTAGGATGGCCTAGTTGCTCTATGAAGTTGATCCCTGTGGAGAGCTGGAATCAGGAACGCCGTGACCTTCCCAGCTCTCCTTCCCCGTGTTTCACAGCTCACTGCGCACAGCTCCAAGAGACTTACCAGCACTCGCAACTCCTCCAGCCTGCCCTTTCACCTTTGGAGTAAACTCCTTGGGGATACCGATGGAATGTATTTTCCTACAATGAAAGCTTGGCATAGGGTAGGAACTCAGAAAAGGCTAACCAAATCTTTCAGCTAGACTCAAAGCAGGCTTTTTGAAAGGAACTGACACTTGTACTTTAATTCCACAGAGTAGCAGCCAGAAACCTGGCTCCTTGTCTCAAGATCAACTTTTGATCTCCAGGGTATTCTAGAATTAACTGACTAGCTAACATATATGAGGTAGGAGATGGCTTGTCTGTAACAGTTTCATCTCTAAGTTACCCTTTTATAAAACCCTTATCATTCATAGCTTTGTTGCACACTTTTTCCTGAAATACAAGGATTTAGGGTCCAGACTAACCAGAGTGTGTCACCTGCATTTAGAAGGGAATTAAAATAGGATACAGGAAAGAGAAGTCAAAGAATGTAAAACTCAGGCCTTAGACCTGCATGTAGCAATCACAGGTCGGGAGGGATCCGGGAGGGAGGGAGAACTGCACCCGGGTGCTGGCAGCTTGGACCAGAGTGCCCTATGATTGAGCGGGGAATGATGGACATAAGGAATGCGCATCATTGTAATAAAAACCTGAAAATGGCCAATTCAACTATGACAACTGTATTAAATGCTACCCAAAGTGTTTACCACTCCAAATATTTAAAAAGTACTTTTCTAGAATAAAGAAAAAGAACTTGGAGAAATGGGGGGAACTTAGTATTATGCATATGATGTACAAAAAAGTTACACACATTTAAAATTATAGGATGACTCTAAAATATATAGAGATACATTAAAATAATACTGTTATCAGTCCTTTATATCCCAAATTTACTAATTCAAGTGAAAGCGAAAAACATGACTTTGCATAGATTCATTCAAAAACTTGGTTTCCACTCAACACAACTTTTTCAAGTTGTCAGAAACTTGAGAATTCAAGAAGTATTTAGTATATGAGTAAAAGGTCTTAAGTCCCTCAATAATAGGCAGGGTTTTTTGGAAGACCAGTCCTTCTAGATAGATGAGAATATTGTATCCAAATAGAGTGGTCTACTCCAGAGGTGCACCCTGACTGATAACATGCCCTTTCAGTTACAGTTTAGATTGAACTGAAAAAATTTTCAAAACCACAAATAGCCACTCCTAAAATGAAAAACAAAATCTCCCTCCATTTAAAAGTAAAATAACAGTCCCTATGATAACATAATGTTCTTTTACTAAAATACTTATTTACATTAAAACTGATATTCCCCTCATTGGTGAGATTATCCAGATCAATGGATTTCTCAACTCTATACAATACAAACAACCAAGACCAGAAGGTAAGGTGTAAAATACAGCTATTATGAAAAACTATTAAAATATTTCTCTTTACTAACCAAGGATACTTTTAAAAATGCATATCATATAAAAATATGTTATTGTTACATCTGCCTGTCCTGCTCCCCACTCTGTCTCTGGTGAATCCTCTCACCCCCCACACCTCTGGCCTCATTCCCCAGCTCTTGTATGCATAAATAAATAAAATCTTTAAAAAAAAAAATGTTACTGTTTCTGGATTTTTTTACTCGAATTTACCTTGAGTTTTAACTTTAAAAATAATTATCAGACTGAATATCTGTCATTATTAAAGATGGGAAAACAAAAGTCACTTGTTATAATTCTGCAGGGGAAGAACTAGCCAACTGGAAAATAGCAAAGAGATACTAACAGTAATTACAACTAGGACAACTAACCAGAGCCGCAGCATACAGCTACACAGGTAGTGCAATGCTCCATCCATGGCTACACAACATAGCCCTGTTGTCAACATTTATCGAGTGTTCTACCATATACCAGGCACATTTTTTATATGAGAAAAGAGAAGGCACAATTAATAATTTACCCAAAATATCAAAGCTAATAAGTAGCAACAGAGGTGGGCATTTGACTTAACTGTCATCCTTATAATTCAGATACAAGCCCTATTACCCCATTACTTGAAAATATCCCTGAGCTTAAAACTTTCTTGCACAAAATTTAATTTTTAGAGTATAAAGTGTTTGGACAAGATTATTATCTTGAAAAATACTATTTTACTATATATATTATTGCTGTTCTTTCAGAACGGTGATGTGATTTAGAGAATCTGTTTCCAATTTGAAATCACCTCACACATCTCCCCTTACCTGAAGCAAACAAGAGCTTTAAAACAAAACAAAAAGACAACCCCACCAAGTACACAAGATTCCATTTGCATATACTTTAATAACAAGGTCAATTTAGGTGAAATGAACAAAGAAAAGGAGACAAGGAGAACTTAACACATGATACTTTCACAAGTTTGGATCAAAACCACATATATAATAAAGCTTCAAAACACATTATTGTCTATGTTAACAGAGGTGGTAACTACAATTGATCACATACATTTTCTAAAATATTATTAAAGATCACAAAGTTAGATCAAACAATGATGGTCAGAAAATTTTGTCCTAAAATTTTAACAAAGTCTTTTAAGAAAGTCTAAAAACCTCCTGTTTCCCACACTGACACTCAAAACTTGGACTGTTATCAGAATATCAGTTGGCCACTTTAACTTTTACCATACATCAAAAATTATCAAAAATATACTGATGGGTCTATTCTAATTGTGACTATTTATATTTACATTAAGCAAATTCTCTTACCAAGTTCTTTATATACAAATTACCATCTGTCCTATGGGAAATTCATTAAAAAGTTAAAAAACACAGAAATGTCATTAGAAACAATGCATTTCAAAATGTAACTGCTTTCCATCAATGAAGAACACTTTAAAATAATTTAACTGAAAAAGTACTGAACTCCCCACCAATTTCAGCTGCAACAGTATTCCTCCTGAATGTTTTCTGTGATTGAAGGAAAAAAAAACTGGGTAAACCCTGATTGCAAGGAATTAAAAGATAAAAGTCTGATGAATGTTTATTGATCTAATTTTCAAGAAATTTGTAGTCTAAATAGGTTGCCATTGAAAACTTATAATTTTTTACATGTAAACAATTTAATATAACTGAAGAAACAAGTCTTTACAAACTGACAGATGAACTGAAAAATACCCTTTGGATAACTTTAAATCACAAAACAGTATCTCATGTCTCTAAAATGAGTACACCTATGACTTTTCTATACTTCCCAAGACCAGTCTCACATTGAAAAGAATTTAGATATTAGAAGTTTAGATAAAAGAAATTTATAAACACTTAAGAGGCAAAGATTTTGGGGGAGGTTCATTTGGGATTATATTAATACTACTAAAATGTATAAGGCCACTGTAATTGTTCTAAGATTTTTGGTCACATAGCAAAGAAAAAAGATGTCTTTTTCTGTGAAAAACTAGCATAGTATCATAAGCTTTTCAAATTTAAAATCATTGTTGATTTTTAATGATGCACATTTATGTAATGTTTATGTAATGTGATTATGAACTCTGACTTCAATAAAAAAGTGAAAAAAAAAGAAGTCAAGAAAAAAATTCAAAGTTCATTGATGCAGATGACCATAAAGCTGAGTGCAACGTTTTGTCCAGTAGAGATGTATTTCTCTTGTCCTGGAATTAACTGATTTTGTTTCAGTCACTGAAAAATTTAGGCCTCATATTATCTGGTTTAAAAACAGAGATCAGCTTTATTACATAAATTATGTTAACTTAGGTTCACTACACACTCTACTAAAGCAAGAAATAAAGCTCCCAAGTATTTACCTAATTAGTGCTCTGTCTCTGGACTTTAGGACTTTGCATGTCCTCTTCCTGACTAGGACGCTTCCCACTGCTGAGACCAGTGCCCAGAGAGCTTCTTCCTAGACATTTTAAAAACACATGTTTAAGAAATGAGAGCCCATAAATAAAACCACAGAAATAAACCCACAAAGTTACCAAGAATATATAGCATGAAACAAGGAAAGTCTCTTCAATAAATTATGCTAGGAAAATGGGACAATACATACAGGAGAATGAGACTAGACCATTATCTCACACCATCCACAAAAATTAATTCAAAACAGATGTAAAGACTTGGATGTTAAGACCTGAAATCATAAAACACATAGAAGAAAATACAGGACACAAGCTCCTTAAGATGGGCCTTAGAGGTATCTGGGGATCTGGTTCTAAAGGCAAGAGAAGCAAAAGTTAAAAAAAATAAAGGAACTATATAAAACTGAAAAGTTCTGGACAAGAAAAGAAACCATGGTCAAAATGAAAGGCAACCTACTGAATGGAAGATGCTGTTTGCAGATCAGATCTCTGACAAGGGGTTGATAACCAAGATACATTGATAACTCATATAACTCAACCACAAAAAAGGAACTTAATAAAGAAAATGGGCAGAGGCTCTGAATAAACACTTCTCCAAAGAAGACACAGAGCTAAATAACAGGCACATGAAAAGATGTTCATCATCTCTTATGTTTTGGAAAGTACAAATCAAAATATCAATAACAAGGTAACACTTCACACCTGCAAGAGTAACTTTTATCAAAAGGACAAGAAACAACAAGTGTTGGTGAGGATTTGGAGAGAAGGGAACCCTCATACACTGTTAGCACAAATGCAAATTGGTGCAGTCATAGGGAAAACAACATGGGAGTTTTCTAAAAAAAAATTTTTAAAAAATAGGTATTTTATACAACCCATCTATCCATCCCACTTCTGGGTATCTGTCTCAAGGATACAAAACCACAGCCATCATTCACAATAGCCAAGTGTTGAAAACAACCTAAGTGCCACTAGGAGATGACTGAATAAAGGAGATGTGGTATATGTGGACAATGGAATACTTAGCTACAAAAAAAAGGATGAAATCCTGCCATTTGCAACAACATGCATGAACTTAGTGGATGTTTAATGCTAAACAAAAAAAGGTAGGTGGAGAAGGACAAAGAACTGAATGATTTCACTCATGTGGAAGAAAAAGAAACATAACTAATGAGCAAATGAAACAAAAACAAAAACTCAGACCAGAGCAAAACAATAGTTAAGAAAAGGCAGAGGGGAAGAGAGGAGAATATATCATGTTAAAGAGGCCAACTGTATGTAGAAAAATGGAAACTAGATTTTTATTGGCAAACAAAATGTAGTATATACAAATGCTGATTTATAATGCTGTATACCTGAAACCTATATAATGTTATAAACCAATGCTAACACAATAAAAAAATTTAAAATCATGTATGAAAATTAATAATGTATTTTTAAGATGGGAAAGGTGAAAAAAAAATCTATATGCTCAACTGCTTCATTCTTACCTTGCTTTAATAAATGAGTCTGCTGACTATCTCCATGAGCATAATGTAAAATACCACTCCCTTGAGGACAACCTGTTAGTATTTAAAACATAATGAATTATACTATGCAAATCATGTAACACACAGACAATGTGGCAGTTACCCAGCCAGAGCAATTAAAAAATTTTTTTGAAAAGAAACAATATTATAGGAGAATGGGTTGGCAACGAGAAGTAGGGTTCAGAAACATTTTTGTCAGTATGTTCAGATTATGGAAAAATATGAGCATTCTGTCCACCTGAGAGGCTACCTTATGGACTGAACAATATGTAGATTTTTTTTTTAATAGAGGCATGTCATGCACTGGGTACAGTCAGGAGCGCGGGAGGGTGAGAGAATTCACCAGAGCCAGAGCGGGGAGCAGAGCAGGCAGAAGGACCGAAGTACACTGCTGAGGGGAGCAGCGGGCGGCAGGAGAGGTCTGCGCGCCATGTGGGACCCTCCTTCGGTGGCCGGGGAGCAGCCGGGGATTGAACCGGCGCCGCGGAGGCCATGGGCAGCTTCGCAACCCAGCGCTCAACCGCTGCGCCACCGGGGAGGCCCTATAATGTACTTATTTTTATTGGTTTTCATGCTCATCAATTTCCTCTGGATAAAGAATTCAGTTTTTCAGGTATTTGAAAATGGAAAAGTGGAATGTCTTGATTAGGGAGAAGGCTTCTATCACTGGAAAGGGATATCCCCACCATAAATTAATAAATATGTGTGCCATGTTGATATTTTAATTCATATGAGCATTCAAAGAATGTGATATGCAACTCTTATTTAACCCTGAAAATTGCTTTCCTTATTCAAGGTAAAGAAGATCTTTTTTACCTTGACTCAAATGCTTAAAACATGTTAAGATGTTTTCCATGTCCGAAATCTCACTCATGGTAAGGATGTGTGTTTGTGTATGTGTGTATATAACATATATGCAGGGGTATGAAAAACTATCACATTTTAAAGATAGATCTTTAAAAATAAAACTGTTGTGAAGTTCAACGAACAATATATTTTATTATTAACCTCTCTGTTACCAAATGCAGAAATTTCCTTTTTACTTACTTCCACTGCTGCTACAACCTGGGATATTTTCTCCAGGAGAATAACCCATGAGGCCTCCATTTCCATTAGGATTAGAAGGCACTGATGCAAGAAGACCTGAAGGGAAAAAAATTCCTTGATTAAAAAAATTAAATGATGATTGAGGTAAAAATCAAGGATAGTTACATAAACAGCTGTCAAAGAAACAAATCAAAGTCAGTTACCAACATACCTAGTCCTCTATATCGTGAAAGTTGCTGATAGATCTGTTTCATCCTTTCAATATTCAAACGGCTTGCTTCAGCATGGTTCACCATTGGTTTAGGATAATTAACTCCTATCAAACATTTGGCTACCTTCTGAATTCCTTCTGGTGCATTCCAGGGATCATAGATATATTTTGCAGGGAAGCCTCTTAGAACAGGCAAATAACGCCTTTTGGGAGAAGGAAGAAAGTTATTAATAAATTGAACTATAATAAATTATAACAAACTATTCACAATGAGTGACCAAAATCAAATCAATACCATTTAAATGATTGTCTTTCTCTTCATCTCTGCTGCCCATCATGAGTGGGGAATACTTTAAGTTTTGCTGAAACATGAAAAACTTCTCCTGGATTCAGCATTCAAATTGAATAAAAATCACCCTTGATTTACCTGATGTAGTCTCCATTGGGGTCTGTTCTCCTACCAAAACCAACAGGGCAATAGCAGTGAAAAAACTGTTGGAAAAAGGAACTACAAGAAAGCCACATCCAACTTCCAGCATTTATGCTCCAATCTGCATCAAGCAATAATTCTTCAAATACCTTTGAAAGTAATAGTAACCAATTAGTTTGCATTCACAATTCTGAAAGCAGGCATTCTTCCAGGTCACTACAGATCAAAAGTCAGGCAAAGAAAATCTTACCTAGACTGTAAAATTGAACATTTCCAAATTAGTTTCCTTGTCTATGTTATGTTCTATAATGAATTATTTTGGGAAAGAAACAAGCAATATAAGAAGATTTTTAAATGGAATTTACCAGTGTTACGGGGAGAGAGAGAGTAAAAAAGTTACTCTTCACTAATATAAAAGGATGACAAGGGATATGAGGAGTTTATAGAGTTAAAAAAAAAAAAAAGAGTAGGGCTTTCAAGAAAGCAAAACTCTACCAGAGAAATGACCAACAAAAACTTAGAAACTTAGTACACTGGTCTATATAAAAGGAGTACTTAAATACAAATGACTTTAAAAATTACTAGCACTATAGTTTAAATTTGAATTCCTTGATTCAAAAGGGATACAGAATTAATGTAAATTATTTTTTATGAATTCACTTACTGTGTGCTATATATCTACCTCAAGTACAACTTTGTATTAGGAAACAAGAGATGCAAAAAAAGCAGGATCAGAAATGGTAAAACATGTCATAAAATGCAGTATGCTTCACTTTACATAATAGAAGTTGTAGTAAAAGCTGTGATGTTGAAGTTGGGTGAAATGATTTATATTTTAAAATTTATAACAAAAATTCACTATTTCTAAAAACTCTTAGTTGCATCCTTTTTGTGAAAGAAACAATCACCTATACAGAAAGCAATCCAGTAAGTCCAGAGAGTAGTTCCTTTGATGGCAAGGCTAGTTTAGTCACTGAAATGACTTTAGATTAATTGAGTTAACCAGTTTTTACCATTTCTCTTGTCTCTTATACTATTCTGCTCTCCAAAAGTGACTGTTTTATGGGAATTAAATTCTTTGCCAGCTGAAAAATTAGACTGTTAATATATCTACCTAGTAGACAACCTTTAGGAATTGTTTCAATACCTATACTTATAGGCCTTCAAAACATGACCATGCTAGAAATTTAGAAAACTTAAATAAGAGATCAGGAAAAAGACTAATCAATACAAAGTAAAAAATCAAAATCAACAAGCAACTATAAACCAGAGACACACTATGGAGGGGGGAGGGAGAGGAAGGACTAGAGTCAAAACAAGGGGGGAGTGCAATTATATGGAGAATATAACCATAATGAAAATGCATACATTGTGCAAAGATGAAAAATGATGTAAGAATTACATAAAATAAAATATTAAAACAAAACAAAACATGACCATGATACATTAATTAGAAGAACTCTTACTTTCATTCCTTCTTCCCAACTAATCCACAAGTCACCTCGTGTCAGGAAGCAAGCAACCGCATGTCTGGCTAAATGGTGAATCCAACCCTCCTGCCGAAGCTGTGTCATGATGGCATCAATCCATGGAAAGCCTGTACGGCCTTCTGCCCATTTTGCCAAAGCTTCAGGATTCTTATCCCAGGGAATCTGAACACAGATAGGGTTTCCTTCCATTTTATCAAAGCGTGGATTATTTGTTGCTGCTGTATAGAAAAATTCACGCCATAATAATTGCCCATAAAGGGAAAGTGGAGGGGAGCTATTCTTCTTTACCTAAGATTAAAAAGCAAAGAAGTATTATCAACACTTATTTAGAAAGTATTTTAAAAAATAAGCTCCAGTTTTAGATAATACCTTTTTGTAGAGATCTGTTAATTTGAAGTAAAACAGTCGACATGACAAACAACCAAATCGAAGATAGGGGCTAAGCCCAGTAGGGCTAGCAAGCAGAGAATTTGCATTCATTCGCGGTCTTTCAAAATTTGCCACCCAAGCCTGAAAGCACACAGAGAAAATTATACCAATTAATTTCCATTTCCATTTTAAAAGAGCACTTAAAGTTGAAATTCTCAATGAGTGACACAGTTCACTTGGGGAATAAAATCAGAAATAAAATCTTACTATCCCAGCAATGGTTTTAAATAAAAACAAAAAAGGATAAAAATGAACATCCTTTTGTTTCAGTCATTTTCATGGAACACCTACTCGTGTGATGTAAATTATCTTCAAATTTCTTTCTTTTTTTTTAAAGATTTATTTATTTATTTATTTATTCATTCATTCATTCATTCATACAAGCACTGGGTACAGTCAGAAGCGCAGGAGGGTGAGAGAATTCACCAGAGCCAGAGCGGAGAACAGAAAAGGCAGACTGACGAGGGGAGCAGCGGGTGGCAGGAGAGGTCTACATGCCATGTGGGACCCTCACTGGGGGCCGGGAATCGAACAGGCGCTGCAGAGGAATGCGGGCAGTTTCGCAACTCAGTGCTCAACCACTGCACTACCAGGGAGGCCCTATCTTCAAATTTCTAACATAAGGCTGAGAGGACCTTCAACCTGTCTCTTTGACACTGAGGTAAAGTTAGAAGAACTCTATCCTAATTTCAAAGTTATTGTCATTGGACTAGAAAGGCAGTATTAGCAGTTGCTAAAAGGGAAATATTCAGAGAGGAAGAAATTTATTTTTTATTTTTTTATAAATTTTTTTTTTTTTTTATAGAGGCATGCTTTATTTATTTATTTGTTTGTTTGTTTTGTTTATACATGCACTGGGTACAGTCAGAAGCGCGGGAGGGTGAGAGAATTCACCAGAGCCAGAGCGGGGAGCAGAGCAGGCAGAAGGACCGAAGTACACTGCTGAGGGGAGCAGCGGGTGGCAGGAGAGGTCTGCGCGCCATGTGGGACCCTCCTCTGGTGGCCGGGGAGCAGCCGGGGATCGAACCGGCACTGCAGAGGCCGCGGGCAGCTTCGCAACCCAGCGCTCAACCGCTGCGCCACAGGGGAGGCCCCAGAGAGGAAGAAATTTAAATGAGACAATAGCTGTTAATTTTCAGACGATTAAGTTTGTTATTTTAATTATTTCTCTCAATACTTCCTTTTCAACAATTTATTTCTCGTTTCTAAAGAAGACAGAAATTATGTTTAAAGTGCCATTTTGGAAATATGAAAGTGCATGATCTACATTATCATACTTTTCTTTCCAAATGCCTTTCCAAACGTGTAAGTGCTTCAGTTTCTCCTCCTGGCCACACTGCAGACGATAAGCCATCTGTATCAAAACCTATTAAAAAAAGAACAAAGAAAAAAAGAAAAGAAATAAAAAATATTATTCTTCTGGAATGCAAATCATTTTTATTTAACCATAATAATTGGTATACTACATTACTTTGCAGAAAAATTGTGACAGCAGCATAAAAATGATTCTTATACAGATTCTTATACAGATTCTTACACATAGAGACTATAACAAGGTCTTTTTCTCCTTCCTGGTACTCACTAGCAAAAGGGTCTTTATTCTTTAGGATGTACATAATTATAGAATACATGAATAATGCATAGATTTATTTGAAGTCTTTCTTTTTCTTCTCCTTTACTTAACACAAATACATGTCAAAATTAGAAGTGCCATTTACTGATTGATTAACACATAAATTCCATACTTACTACCATTTACACCCACCTAGTTCTTCCAGTGAAGGGACTCCATATTTCTCATCATGGTCATCAAACACAGGAGTTGTACATTTTTCTATCACTTCTGATGTAATTGTCTCTACTGGTATTTCTAGAGGTTCCATTTTGCTGATGAGGGTCTGGAATCTTTTATAAGTAAGAGGTGGTTGTCCACCATTGAGTTCTATGATCCTATTACAAATGTTAGTAAAAATGCAGTTAGTATTTTATTTATTTATTTATTTATTTTTTTAATAGAGGCATGTTTATTTATTTGTTTGTTTGTTTGTTTTGTTTATACATGCACTGGGTACAGTCAGAAGCACGGGAGGGTGAAAGAATTCACCAGAGCCAGAGCGGGGAGCAGAGCAGGCAGAAGGACCGAAGGACACTGCTGAGGGGAGCAGCGGGCGGCAGGAGAGGTCTGCGCGCCATGTGGGACCCTCCTCCGGTGGCCGGGGAGCAGCCGGGGATAGAACCAGCGCCGCAGAGGCTGCGGGCAGCTTCGCAACCCAGCACTCAACCGCTGCGCCACCGGGGAGGCCCAAAATGCAGTTAGTATTGAAAAAAAAATAATCCAAATTAGAAAAGAAGTAAAACTACCCACTTATGCTGACAATATTATGTATCAATATATAAAAGAAACCAAAGACTCTGCCTAAAAGTTATTAAGAACAATAAATGATGACAATAAAGTGGCAGGTTAAAAATGAACATACAAAAACTGTGTTGCATTCTTATATACAAACAATGAACAAGGAAAAAAATTAAGAAACTATTCCATTTATAATGGCATCAAAAGGAATTAAATACCTAGGAACTAAGCCAACTAAGGATCCAAAGGATTTATACAACTTTTAAATATTTTATTTTTAAAGATTTATTTATTTATCTATACAAGAACTGGGGTACAGGCCAGATGCGCGGGAGGGTGAAAGGATTCACCAGAGACAGAGCAGGGAACAGAACAGGCAGACTGACGAAATACACTGCTGAGGGGAGCAGTGGGTGCGACAGGAGAGATCTGCGGCACCATGTGGGACCCTCGCCGGCCAGCCGGGATCAAACCTGTGCTGCAGAGGCTGTGGATAGCTCCACAGTGCAGCGCTAAATAGCTTGCGCCACCAGGGGAGGCCCAGGATTTATACAACTTTTAAAGACATTATTAAACATAGAACAAGACTAAAGACAAAAGACATACCATGTTCATGGATGGGGAGAATTAACAGTCATCATCAAATGATGTCACCATCTAAATAACTATTTTACCAAGAGCAATATATAGAGTCAATGCATTCCCCATTAAAATTTCAAAGATACTTCAAGGAAACGGAACAAAAAATATAAAATTTATATGGAAGCATAAAAAAATCCCTAAATAGCTCAAGCAATCCAGAGAAAAAGAAGAAAAAATGGACATCATATTACATGATTTTAAGCTGTATCATAAAACAATAGTAATAGAAATAGATAAATGGATAAATGGAACAGAATCAAAAGCTCAGAAATAAATCCATCCAGATATCAATACCTAACCTATGACAAAGAAGTCACAACCGATACAATGGAGAAAGAAGAGTCTCTTTAACAAATGATCCTGAGAAAACTGGATTGACACGTGTAAAAGAAGAAGCTGGATCATCTCTAATTCCACACATAAAAATAAATTCAAATGTGATTAAACTTAGATATAACCCACAACTATATGGCAATATGTTTTATGATATTAACACTAGAGATGTGTTTGGAGACTACATGCCTACAGGAAGGGAAATAGAAGTGAAAATAAATAATTGGAACTACCTCAAATTTAAAGTGTTTCACGCAGCATAAAAAAATATTAGCAGATTAAAAAGACATCCTACTGAACAGGAAGAGATACTCACACGTCATATAACTAACAAAGGGTTAATATACAAATAACTCATATAACTTCACTACCAATTTAAAAATGAGCAGCAGACCTGAAAAGACAATTTGCCAAAGAAGATATATAGAAGGCCAACAGATAAATGAAAAAAATGCCCATCATCATTTAATAGAGGAGATTAAAGTCAAAACCGTAATAACATCATCTCACACCCTGAGAAAGGCATACATTAAAAAAACCTCCTGCAAGTGCTGGAGAAGATGTGTAGAAAGAGGGAGCCTAAAATACATCATTGGTGGGAACGTAAAACTGCCCATTTTGAAAATGGTCTGGAAAACACTAAAAATGGAAATACCATATATATATATTGCAGCATTATTTACAGTACCTAGGATATGGAAACAACCCGTTGAGAGAAAACTGGATAAGGAAGATATGGGATATGCACATAAAGAAATACTATTCAGCTATAACAAAAGATAAACTGTTACCACATATACAGCAAAATGGAGAAGCTGAAGGGAATTATGTGTACTTAAAATAAGTACTGGGCAATTTCACATATATGAGTAAAATAAGGAATAATAAATAAGGACTTATAAACTAGTAGACACTGACATTGACAAAGTGAGGTTTCTATGAGTAAGAAGCAGAGGAGTGGGACACAGGTCAAAAGGGCAGGTGATGGGGAGAAATTGAAAAATAAAGAAAATGGATTTAAGGAAAAAAAATGAATGTAGGTGTGCTGAATGAAACAAACCAGTCACAAAGGCATATATTAAAAAATTAAAATAGATTTTAAGTATAAATAACTAAAAAATAATTTTGAAAGGGACATAAATCAGGAGATTTAGCACTTGTAAGGACAATCATATGCCAAAAACTAGTAAGTTAATGCATCTTATGAATCTTCAGCATATAATAGTTATATAATCTCTTTTTGGACAAAGAGTCATCAGGAAACACTATTTCAAGAATAACATTTTGAGAAATAATATATTAAGCCAAGTTCAGAGGGCTACAGCTATGTAAAGTAATATTAAATATAATTTGCATGTGAACTTAACACCCAGATCGACAAGATATACACATGTGAAATAAGACAATCAAACAAAACATGTCAAGTAGTTTATGACTATGTATCAGATAAAGTGTAAAATTAGTATTGCTAAGAGCCCAGCAGAGCAAGACCACAATAAGCTGAGTTACAGTCAAGGAAAATTTTGTGTTACTCTTAATACTTTTGAAAGTGAAATTCTGAATGTTTTTATCTTATGCACAGTATCTATAATTTTGGCACCTGCCCCTGGGTAAATAAAAATCATAGTAGTTAAATAAAAGGCTATGAATTCGACATATATTAATTTAATTCTCCCACAACTCTGAGTATGTTATTTTTATTTTATAAACTTAAGTCCCAAAGGTTAAAACTAACATGTCTATGTACTTAATACATTGAATGTACACTCAAAAATGGTTGAGATGACAAATACTGTTGTATTTTACATAATAAAAAAAGGGAAAAAACATACTTGTCTAGGTCATATAAAGTATGTGAAATTCGTACAATGACTTCTACTCCAGCTTCAGTAGCCAGTTTCTTAATGGCTGCATCTCGTTCCTTTCCAAAGGGCTCAGAATCATACTCAATTGAAAGTTTAGTAATGTTCCATTCCTAAAATATGTACACACATAATTACTTTCCTATTGTAACAACATAGGTTGGAAAAGAGTAATTCAAAATCTCCATATCAAAAGGTTAAACAATAACTGAACTTTGATTATGAAGAAAGTATGTAATTTTTAAGTTCCAAATATGTAAATAAGAAATGTATACTCACTAGATTCAAGCATTGTGCTAGGTTTTATCATACAACTCAGCATTATGCTTAAAACCAGCTTCCTACATTAAATGTTTATATAGCGCTTTAATTTTTCAAATAATTCACACTTGAATCTCATTTGGTTCTCAAAACAATCCTTAGAGCTTGGCACTCTGGTTGCTATCTCCATCTTGCAGATCAGGTTATTTAAAAAATTTAGTGACTTGCCCATGTTCACAGACAGTCCGCTTTGCTGAGACATTCTGTTTTATAATGCTTCATTTCTGATAACCAAAGACTGTTAACTGTGGAAAATATGAAGATAATAATAATAATAGCAGCTACTTACTGAGTGTCAGGATTATATTAATAAGCTCTGTTCCTCTCCTTATAGTGATTTTAAAAGTAGAGAATGAATTATGGCAATTAAATAATTTCCAAGGGTAGTAGTAAAGATGTTTAAATTCTAAAATTTATTCTGATACATCTTACAAGGGTAAAAAAAATCACCTGTAATTTTAACATGATTTAACTGGCTGTATAGAAAACACTATAATTCTCCAAACCCTCACAAATTAGACAAGGGCTATTCCCTGTGGTAAGTTTAAAAAAAAAACATTGCTATTAATATTGCAGTGTACATCTTTATATTCATACATTCATCTAAGGCATTTTGGGCATCTGTCCCAGAAATAATTCCTTGAAAAACAATTTGTTGATAAGAAACTGATAATAGTTTATAGCTTCCAGGAGAAGAACTAACAGTTTAAAGTAGAAGAAAGATTTAACTATTTGTAAACCTTTTTTTTTTTTTTTCACTCTCTGGTTTTTACCACATAACTTTTTTATAAAAGAAAAAACATTAACACACTTTTTAATTTAAAATGTCATTTCCCCATACTTTAAATTATACAGATGCCTTATTTACCAAATATGTGTCTCCTCTAACAAGAGGTTATTTTATGCAAATATCTTACCTTGAAAAGTCTGGGGAACACATCTGCTGGTTGTCCACGAATCACAAACAGACGAGAGTTTAATTTTCGTAGATTGGCATCGAGGTCTTCAAGACATTGAAGCAAAAATCTAGAGAGGAAAACATTATTAAGAGTCTTAATATCTGTATTTAGAAGATACAGTGTATTGCAAAATCAATATTATTCTAAAGGTTGAAATGCTAAGCCATAATGATCTTATTACCTCTGACATGCAAATTACTGTTTCCAGAAATAATACTTAAAATATTTAAAACTACAGCACAAATTTTCAGTATTTTCTAAATTAAGTTTCTAAATTAAATCAATAACCTTCAATAAATAAAGGTGACTATTACTAAGATTGAACTTGTGAACATAAAAATTATGTAAAGAAGTGTCAAAGTAATTAAGTGAATTGACTTTATTGTTTACACTTGGTGAAATAAAGCCAAGTTCATATAGAAAAGCTACCTTGAAAAATCTGGAACATTTTCTACTGGGAAACAAATGGAGGCATCTTCTTTGAGCAAGTGAATAATTTAAGAATTTGGGTACTTTATTAGGGGATATTGTAGTTATCGAAGAAAGAGAAAACCTAACACCCATTTCAAATTTCTATTCTAATTACAGTAAAAGAAACTGAGGGTAAAATAGATTGTAAATTATGTGGCATTAACTCTCAGTAGAAAGAATACCAGACTAAGTTTTTAAAAAGGACTTCATGAGGCAGGTGGGGTGACAGATTTTTTCAATAAAATAAATACCAACAAAGCTTACACATGAGTGATATATGAGGAAATTTCTGGGGCATTGCAAAAGATGATTTACCCTGCATCTCTATAGTGAAGAAATGGAATGCTCCCCAAGAGTAATTTGGAAAGACAGTCACTTCTAGAAAGTTCAACCTCATTCTTTTCTCTATCATTTCATCTAGATTTTGTTTCACTTAACTGAGCATATCTTATTTCTTCCTGTTTTGCTTCTTTTATGTTTCTGATAAAGTTAAATATTTTAACTTTGTTTGCTTTTTCCACAGACCATATGCTCCTAAGAGTAGTAATTGTGTCCTATTTGCAAGAAGGAGTGGTTGAGACAAATGGAAAGACATCTTTTAGGATTGCACTGTCCAATACGATGACCACAAAACACATGCAGTCATTTTAAATTACCAAAATTTAAAATTCAGCTCCGCAGTCACACTTGCCATATTTCAGGTCTGTCAACAGCCATATGACAGCAAAGGTGAAAGACATTTTTTTCATTTCAGAAAGTTCTATTGAACTGCATTTTTCTAAGCATGTTTTTGGTCTAGAATACTTTGTTATCTTTGGTCATTCTGATCCCATTACTTTATCAAGAAAGTCTTGTTAATTTTTTGCAATTGTAAAAAATTATTAGTGACAGCAATATACTGGTCAGGCTTCATACGCTTTTCCTTTTTGGAGTCATTATCCCTACAGCTTGGGAAACTACAGCACTACGCTCATGAGCTATTAAAGACACCCCATCATTTCACCTTAGGAAGTCTCACAGATGTCATTAAACAAACAGGAAACAAACTTTTCTATCCTCATATTTGTATTTCACCATATCCCCTCTATGTCTTAATTTGCCACCTCCATAACATCCCATCCTCACCCCAACCCACCTTGACTGATGTGCAAATACAATGGAAGACAAAACTGTTGTTTTTGGTATAGTAATATAAAAGCACATGTGTTTGTAAAATTATCTTTAACTATGAACAACTTATAATGTGTGGCAATAAATACCAACAGGGGAACATCTAGTTTTATGTATTTGCTTGGAGCAGAGTTTTTAGACACTGTAGTAGCCAGTTCGAAAATGAAGCTGAATGAACTAGCAATTTTTAGTTTTCTTAAATCTAAACACTACAAAATTAAAGTGTCCTGAAAGATAATCTATAGCAGAGATAAACCTCATGTCTCTTCTGTACCATTTGTTTTAGTAACTTCTCTATCAGAGTTGACTACCAAGAGTTCTCCACATTCAACTTTTTGGTGGAAATGTTTCTATGTGATACAAGCAGGACAATAATAAACTATAAAATGGAAAAAGAAAACAAAGGACCTGATTAATTCATAAAATAAAAAAAAATCTGGATTAATAACTGCCTTGTATTTATTTTTTCCCTTTCCTATTCACAGAATGAATAGACATCCTTAATGCTTCCAACACCCACCTTGTGAATAAACAAACATTGTACAGAATCATGGAATGGAGCAATGGCACAGGTTTCGCAACCTAAGAATTAATTCTATTTTGGTACTTCATAAAACAAAGGAAAATAAACTGTATTTAAGTATGGTGTTTTTCTTCCATAGTTTTATTGATGTTTTTCTTCCACAGTATGATGCTTTTGTTTCATAGATGTAATCATTTACATGGCTATAATTTCACTTGAAAATGACAGAGGTACCGTGGGCTTATATGAAGGTTCTTTAATACTTATATACTTCTTTGTGCTCAAATATTTTAAGTAGAAACATTTGCGAAGAAAAAGAGCAGGATGGAGAAAAACACAGTAATCTCCTCTGTTACAAGGCTCTTTGCACTATGACTTTTAAAACTATATGTATGTATTATTTTGATAAAAGAAAATTAATTTGCATATATCTTCTTATCTATGCATAGGAAGATAACTGGGAGGAGACTTGCTGAGCTGTTAATAATAGCTACCCTTGGGAAATGGGAGTCTGTGGTGGGGTTAGGTTAAGGAAAAGAGAAGGATACTTTTTGTTTACTTCATAAAAAATATAAAATTGATAATTAGATACATTCTTTCAAAGTAGAACAAAACTGGTAAGTACTGTATCTACTGTAAACCTAGTTTAATACATAGTAAACATCTTGTTGAAGCAACTAACATTATAGCATCAATTTTTGTGGTTTCATATTCTATTGCATGGATGTTCTATAATTTAGAAAATTTAGCAACAAATACTATCTTTCAATCAATTTTGAAAAGTTCTAATTTCTTCATCAGTACAACTGGAATAGTAATAGGACCTACCTCACAGAATTGATGTGAGAATTAAATAAATATATGTGAAATTCTTAGAACAGTGCCTCACTCAGGGTAAGCACATTATGTAAGGGTTATCTATTATTTTCCAGTCCTTTACTCCCTACACACTTCTATTCCTGCTACAATTCCAGTCCTAGTTATCCTTTGCTGCTATTATTTACTGCAGTGCCTTAAAACAGATCTGCCTGCCAACAATCTCTCTCCTTTCTAGTCCATTTTAAACCCAATGCCAAATCTTCCTGAGGCATACTTTTCTGCAGAAAGGTCTTCAAAGATTCAGTCCCTGCAGAATAAAGAACAAATTACTTATGCCCACATTTTATGGTTCCGGATACATTTCTTACCCTTTCTCTTTCCTTCCACCAAATCAAAATACTTCTCTTTTCCCCATACATTCAGTCTCCTACTATTTGCTCTGTGCTCTTTCCTTGGCCTAGAATACCTTTCCTAATTCTTATCCCTTCATGTTCATAACCTGCTAACTTTGTCTTCATCTGAAAGTAATTTCTCTATCCTCTGAACTGTCAAAGGACATAATGTACCTTATCCTACAGAAGCTGTCAGACTGTCCCCATATCATAGGTATCAGGCAGACACATAGCTAGGGATACAGATATCATCCCCACCTCTTGATAGATTTCATGTTAAGTATCCCTGTCTCTTTCCTAACCACAATTTTCCTGGCTTCTACATTTGCCAACGAATCACATCATGTATCTTATATGATTTTGTTGAAAATATTAGAAATAGGATAAAGTAGCTTAGGAGGGCTGTCTTACACAACTGTTGAAAGGACTGGGAAATTACCTAGTAGAAATATTAGCACTTGGTAGATATTCATAGGTATTAAACAGACAGTCACAAATATTAAACAGAAATTACAATTACTCTCCTTTGAGAATAATGCATATTTTTGAAAATAGCAACATGTATTTCTATATGTCAATACCTGGGGCATGAAAACAAAAAGACAATGGAATACAATAGATGCCTACACCTATGTAAAAATCAGCTTAAACTCATCACTTCCTTGAAAGTGACTTTGAACTAATGAAGAAAATATTTCTAGTGACAAAGCAAATGTGAATAAGAGTGTGTGTGTGTGCGTGCGTGCGTGTGTGTAGCGGGAAAAGTAGGACGGGAGGGAGAAAGAGAATGTAAGCAAACTTGTGCAAAAGCTACAGTACAATTAAGACCCTGAATCAACTATACTCTAGATATATAATCTTTCCTTGATAATACCATAAAACTTTCAATATCCCAGGTTCAAAGTACTGACTCAGTAACAGTTAAAATTTCTTTTTAGTGTTTAAGGGATAATGTTACTTGAAAGTCTGCTATATAAAGCTTAACCATTCATCCTTTTCCCTTAACCGAAAAGAGATTTGTCAGAGTTCAGATGATGTGTTCCTGAGAGTACACACCAATTTCAGCCTTTTTATATTACACATGCACATGGCTTAGAACAGGCATTAAATATGGAATGGAATGTTTTAACACACTGAAATTTCATAGGGTATACTGTGAACAGGAACATATTTTCAGATTGTCTCCAATTTGGTATTTATATAGTTTTCCTGTAACTGTACTCATCTGAAGGCTCATTTAAATATTTAGTGTTATTAACTACAAGGAACAGGTTGGCTTTGAAACAGGCCAAATGATAGTAAAACTCACCACATCCCTTTGTACAATTGTATTGCTTACAAAGCACAGTTCTCATGTTATTTATTTACAATACTAATTGTATCACTTCAAAATTAAAGAGATGTTGATGAGGAAATATATTTCGTCACTTAAAACATTTTAAGAATTTTTTTCCCCTCCAGGGATCACTACCTTATCGCTATTAGAAAAAAAATGGTATGTAGTGAGTTTCAAAAAGATGATTTCAACGTGAATCAACAGAAATAGTTTCTTTAAGTAGGTCATTGCTATAGCAACCAGCAGGCATTTGTGTGTACTCCCAGTCACAATGACCTACTTTCCAGACCATGGAGAACAGCTTGGAGATAACAAAAATTTGTAGTTGTCTATAAAATAATCTAAAAAAAGGCACT